ATAACGAATTAAAATACAAAAGAGATTCTTTTTCCATAACCAATAATAATATTTAATAACAATTTGGTTGCTGAAGAAAAATTAAATATTTAAATGCCATCAGTGCATGAAAGCATAATATAAACATTAATGACACAAGCACATGTGCATATGTATGTATATACAGCTACACACAAACATATATAGTTGGCGGCAAATTCGGCAAAAAATGTTGCTGGCACAAATTTGTTGAATAATAAAACTGAGACGAAAACATGTAAATATGTTTGTCTGTTCAAATATTTTGCCGTAATGCTGCCTAAACATAAATATATACACATATATTCACATACAGCTCTATCTGTCTGTCTGCATGTACGGTTTGTCTAAAAATACTATCGTACATAAATTCAAATAAATAAATCTTGCTTTCATGTATAATTGCAATTGGTTTTGCTGTGCGCGCCAGAGTTTTAGTTTTAGCTTTAGTTTTATTTTTCATATATGTATGTTCATGCATATATACAAAAAATGTATAAAAATACATAGTTCACATTCAATATAGAATATGGCTGTCAGCTAACTGTAAATCAAAATTCAAACGAACGTGCCTCAAGGTCATCTCATAAATTTATCGGTGTCCGTACGCAATTTTTAAATAATCGAAATGGAAATCGAATGTGTACATACATACACACATGCAGACGTACATACTATCATATAAATACTTACTGAGCTACTTTTTTATAGCATACTTTAATGAGCTCTCCTTGGCGAGCTACTGTGCAAGCGAGTGAGCGAGTGAGCTAGCGACCGCACGTGTGTAACCTACATACATACATGCGTGTGTGTGTTTGTGTGTGTGCGCGTGGATGTGTGCTTGCGTATGTAAATTTTTTGTACGCACATCAGTTGCGATAATTACACCAGGCTATATTTGACATGACTGAACCACTTGAGTTGTGCGATTTGGCTTGAACGAATACCTATAAATATGTATGCTTATTAAAAGCATTCCATTGCCGCATATTAATCATACGCCACGTATAATTAGAGTAATTGCCACAATGAAAGAAAGGCAAGCATTATGTGCCTACATTGCTGCATTACGCGCAACGGAACATAAATTATTAAAAGCACGTTGGCAATCAATCGTCATTTGAGCCAAACGACAGGATAAGACGACAGTAATCGGTTTGTAATGCCATTCCAGCCAGCTCGAGGTGATTGAACTTGCCGGCGTTGCCACTTTAACCACACGCACATACCATACACTCACATACATACAAAGAAATGCCCATATATATGTACGTACATACATACGTACGTACATATACATACATAATACATATATTCGTATATTTATATGTATGTACATACATATGTATGTATTTAAGCCCGCATTTGCGCTCTTTCGCTCATCAGTATTTTGCCTTTACGCTTTGCTTTCGCTTTTTCTGCGCTTGCCTGCTTCCATTGTTTTAAGTAATATGCACATTACTTAAAACAAAAGACTGTGAGAATTTTGTTCTCATTATTTTCTTGCCTGTTGACTGAATTCAATCGATATAAAATTGAATCTAATTAGCTAACGATAGTATGTATGTGCTGGGAATAACATTTAATAATTAACATACATACTAAATGTTATCATAACGAATTGCTCATTAAAGGAAACTAAACATACAATAATTATGTACATATGTTTATATATATGTTCACATCAGTTGGCAACAAATTAACAGTTAAACACGATCTAATGCAGGCATATTAAAGAGAAGAGCGCAGCAGAGCAGAGAAAGAAAGAGAACGAGTGAAACGAGCGAGTGGCAGCCATCGCTTGAGCACTTCAGATGCGAACAGTGTTGCCATAATTGTTTATTGTTTCGCTTATTAGTGACGTGATCAGCGGCAATTTAAAAAGTAAACAAAAAAAAAACAAAGTAAAGTAAATGAATTGAAAGTATTTTGCGCAATGTACAAAGACATAAATTGGGTCTCCAATTTTCCACGAAAACAGTGGAATTGCATTTTAATGGTCTACATTTTTGTTGTTTTTGTTTTTTTCTTCGTTTTCTGTTCCTTTTCGAGTCTCGAGTGAACGCTGGCAACACTACTCACGACAGGCTCGCTCGCACGCTCGTTTAGCTGCTCGCTCACTCACTCAAGAGACAGTTGTTATGCTGAGAGCGGGCGCGGGTGCGACGCTTAACGGATTTCGAGCATGATTAGCGTAGTATTGCTGCAATGGTCAGGGACGGCACGCGTTGAGCCAATCAGTTATTCCCTCGTTTCGTTAACAATTCAAAAATAGGAAATATTCTTTAATATCTGACTGATCCACATTGTATGTATATATATGTACATATACATTTGCGCACAACAAATACCCAAACAAAAAGAGAATTTGCTGAAATAGCACAATAAGAACCGCACTCATATGAGTATGTGTGTGTGTGTGTGTGTGTGTGCATATAGACGTCAAAGCAGACGGCAAATACTAGGAATCAGACAATAGCCGCAACACTCGCGACAAAACAATTTTGGGGCGACAAAAATTTCAACATTCAAATTTATTTTTCATTTATTTTTATTTTGTTTTAGTCTCACGAAATTCGGTGCAAATGCAATTCAGCGTATATACGTGTATCTGCCGAACTATATATATATTTAAATTAAAATTTCAATTTTAATAATTTTAATCGAAATTGAAATTTCAATAATTGTGTTTTGCTTATTTTTTCAGTCTTATTGCCGATTGCCATTTGCATGAAAGTTTAAATATGAATTGAAATCAATTTCATTTCCTATGTGCACATGCGTGCCCTGAAATTACACACACACGTGCACACAAACACACACACATGCAAGTGAACATACGTCAATCGCAGTGAAAAAAAATTCAAAGTTTTGTGACGTTAAAATCCGAAATTGAAATTGAAATTATAAAAGTAAATGCCAAAGTCAGAATAATATATATATTTATATATATATATATATATATATATAAAGAAAAAAAATAAAATAAATAAATAATTAATTTAGTGAACGTATATACATAGTTTTTAACTTAACCAAAATCAATGCAAATATAACGGGACATTCAAATAATACAATAAACTAAAGTATAGACAATATACATGCTTCTAAAAAATCTATATAAATATATACAAAATGAATAATATATTTGTAACTCAAATATTACAGCACAGTCTATTAAAGTAAAGTGATATATATATAATTATATATACATACATACATACATATATATATATCCATATACATATATACATATATATATATATATATATGTATATATGTATATGTCTGTATGTACATATGTATATATATAGAGTTTAACGACTTTCGAATACATAAACAAAACTAAAGCAACCACAAATACAACAACAACAGCTACAAAATGCCAGTGAAAAAGCAAGGTAAGCCGTTCCCCCAATTTATTTCAATATATGCACATATATATTTTTATACGAATTTCGAATATTTACTGTATACATTGTGTGGTGTAAAAGAGGAGTATATTGCTTTTGTGCAATGTTTAGAAACTTGAAAATTAGGAAATTTAATAAACGCCCAATAAAAAAGAAATTAAAACTGATCTTTGGAAAATTTAAATTTTAGTTTATATATAGTTTAGCGACGTCCAAGTTTCATTTTCGATCTCCTGTTAACCTGCTCTTCGAATACAACTGAATATATTAAATTATATCTATATAGATCTAGGGCAATATGCATTAAAATATGAATTTTTAATTAAATTTTATACATTTCCATTTTTAGATTAAAGGAGTATTTAGCAGTCGGCCATGCCCCACTCTTGTTTTCTTTTGTTTATTTATGCAATCAAATTAAAAATTTATTGACTAAATGGCGCAAAATAAATACAAATATACTTTCTGAGTTGTTTTTCCTCCACTAATAAACAATTTTAATTATTAAAAAAAAAAAAAACAACAACAACTAAATTGGAAAATGTAGAGCTTTCATCAGCTTTTAATGGACATTCATCAAGCTGTGCAAATAGATCAAAATTGTGCCAAACTCTTGAAGATAATTAAAATTTTGGTTATATTATTAGGTTCTTTATGGAAATGTGTTCGTTTTGCTAAACAAATATTAAATGTTTATGTTTCATTTATATATATTTTGGGGAAATGACTAGTAAACCCATGAAACAATTGCTTGTGGAGAAGTTCAGGATTGCTAAAAATTTTTGAATTCTTTTGGATGAATGAAATAAAGTTTTAACATAAATTTCAATTGAAAATATTTTTACGAAAATTATATATTTGCTACGAGTATGGAGCTATTTTTATTATTATTATACATATTTTCAATTTTTTTTATGCATATTAGCAATAGTCTGCAATGCCCAATTTTGCATAGGCTACAGGGTATATGAGACAAATTAGAAACAAGCTGATGTTGCCAAACTTTTTCAAATGAGCATTAAACGAAGGTCAGCATAAATACATATGTGACGTGCATTGTCAAGACGCCAAAATAGTTACATACATATGTAAAATGTATATATGTATGTACATATATATATACGTATTTAGATTCAGATAGGTAGTATGCAGGTGTGTGTCCGACTTTATGGCAATGTCAGCCATGTTTGCTGTGCGCTGACCCCAAAAGATTTGTAAATGCCTGGCGAGGCGCAAAGCCTGAGACTGTGACGAAAACTGATGCAAAATGAAAAAGGCGGAAAGCATAAATAGTTGGCCTAAAGCGGAATGTAGATGTGCCAGGTGTGGGCAGGTGCGGGCAGCTGTTGCCCGGTGAGCGGTTAACCAGGCGAACTAGCGGGCCAGCGGGCCAGCCGGCCAGCGGGCGGGGCCAGATACTAATTTTGCTTTCTGTTATATTTTATGTCGTTATTCTTTTTGGTTTTAAGTCAATCTTTATTGATTTATTGAACTAGTGCCGCACTCGCAGAGAAATCGTGTAGATGGTATATGGTTTATTTGGATGGGTATTATTAGGCAGTACGACAACGTCTCCGCACAGAGCAAGTGCTGGCGGAACACTTGAGCTGCCTTGCCTTGGCCTGACTTGACTTGACTTGTCTTGTCTTGTCTTGTGCTGTGGGGAAATGGACTCGGATACGGATTCGGATAGGGAGAAGAGCAGCGATCCCAATGAGGAGCTGCTGAGCAGCGATGATAAGACATTTCACGATGATGATGTTGATGATGATGATGAGGAGGAGAAGGACTCATCCGATCGGATCGATCCAATTAGGCGAATCGATGCGGAACAAGTGCAATCAACAGCAGAGCAACTGCTGGTGGTGCTCATGCAAGCGGAAGCCATAGAAATGCAACAGCAGCACGAACAACAACAACAACAACAACAGCAACAGCAGCAAATCGATGTCGAGGTGGATGTGACTGACATGTCAGTGGCAACAGCTTTGGAACCACCAACAGCCACTGCTGAACCACCTGGCCAGCGTGTGCCCGCCGAGCCACTGATTGCCAAGTATAGCGAGAGTGTGCGTGAGTCTGTGGAATGTTTCTACTCTGCCCAGGATCTGCTGGAGTATGGCCATATGCTGTCCACGGCGGAGCAGCGCACGCCGGATGTTGAGTCTGGCTATTTCGATAAGTCCGAGAGTGACGATGTCTCTCGCGAAGATTTCGAAGCTCACAGTGGCTGCTTGCGTCGTCCCAAAGGCGCCCATGCGCTGCCAATCCTCTCCAGCCAAGAGCTGGCATCCACAACTAGCAGCTCGGAGAGCTTGCGCATTGAGCTGAGCCGCTTCTGCAGCTCCATGGAAGCATTCGAGCTGCAGCAGCAGCAGCAACAGCAGCTGCAGGTGGAGGAGCGGCAGCAGCAGGAGGAGGAGGAAGAGGAGGAGCAGAAGCAGTTGCTCTTAAAAGAAACGGCCGCTGCTGGAGGGGATTTGGCTACGGACGAACGTTTCCTTGACACACAAAGTGAGCCATATGTTATGCAGGTGTTTAGCCTAGGTAAATTGAATGATTGGCCAAGCCAGCTACAGAAAGACAAAGCTCTAGCAAATAGACTATATAGGAGGGGTGGAAACATTTAATTTCTTTTCCGCCAGAGTTGGGGGAAAATATATTGAGAAATGGGCAATATACAAGAAATATACATACGAGTATATAGAAATGGGTATTATCTAAGAAATATTTACAGAAATGGGAAATATTTGAGAAATATTTATGGAAAGGGGAAATTTTGTTTAGGATTTTAGATAAAAATTGCACTTTTCAATGCAATCAGAATCACATTTCCTAGTGTCACTTTATCTAGTCTATATCTAGTTTCAAGTTTTCTCATCTATGTATATATCATGCTTAGAAAATTAGGTCTAACAATTGTAATACTCAAATTTTCTTCAAACTTTGCAGAAGCTCATCGAGCCCTTGAATTGCTCGAGGATTATCATGCGCGTCTCTCGGAGCCACAGGACCGTGCGCTGCGTATTGCCATCGAACGTGTGATTCGCATCTTTAAGTCTCGCCTATTTCAAGCGCTACTAGGTGAGTGTATTACAATAGATATATAGGGCTCTATATGTATATACTATATGGTAGCTAATAAACTATAGAGTTCTGCACTCTAAGCAAAGTTCTCATTGCATATCTTCAGTATGTGCAATGGGATTATGTTTTTATCTATCGAAACTCCCAACACATATACAGTTTCTCATCTCAGATGGAGAACTCTGTCGTATGCGAGCTGCTTCCAGAATATATTTAAGTGTTTGCTCAAGATATGCTTGAGCTGATAAGTCTTGGGTTTTTTTTTTTTTTTTTTTTTTGGATTAGGTTTCATCCAAAATTTCCAAATGCTGTGCATACAGTTCGCTCGTATTCTCCCTCCTCCTCCTCTCTCCCTCCTTCTTGTTCTGGCTTTTGAGCTGACTCAAGCGAATTGAAGCAGCTCAAGCAGCTCGTTAAATCGGATCCATAACTTGATACACACACTCGAGTCGAGCGTTGCATAAACAAACGACTCGTCGATAACGCCAAGTCGATTCTTAGCTAATAGCTCGATATGCATGTATACAAAACAATGTATCTTGGAGGGGCTGGGGCTGGCTCTGTGCTATATAGCCATAGCTATATATGCATTCCGCTTCCTTCTGGCCACACACGTCGCCGTCTCGACCATGGACACAGCTGTGGATATTGACGTGTGCAGGAAATTAAATGGACGCATTCACATTTTTACGTTTAGGCCACTTGACTTTGGGGCTGCTTATTGATGAGCTGGGCGTGACTACGCCCACACACACAGACAGACAGAACCACGAACCGACCCACTGAGGCTTGACCTAAAAACATGTTATGTGCTCATCATATCGTCCGTTATTTCCCACTTCCACCAAGGCGATATACAAAATTCAAATTGAGTTCGAGCAGATTGCATTTAATAGTAGTACTGCAAATACCCTGTAAGGTAGATCAAGTTGTGTTTATTTTTTTTTTAGAATTGGATTAATTTAATGTTGTAATTTTCGTATTAAACTTCTAAATTAGTTTATTTTATTTTAGTTTTATTTCTAGTTCTAAAACAAAAATTTTACTTTGAAAAAAAAAAAAACAGTATATTTTTCGTTAATAATAATCTAAAGATTTAATAGTAAATCAAATGTATAATACACATTTTTATAATATAATATATAAAAATAATATTATATTATTAATTTGCCTCTTACAGATATACAAGAATTCTATGAATTAACATTATTGGATGACTCAAAGAGCATACAACAAAAGACCGCCGAAACCTTGCAAATTGCGACCAAATGGGAAAAAGATGGACAAGCGACAAAGATAGCCGATGTAAGTGGAGAAAGAGCTAACTATATAGTATATAGAATACATAGTATATATGATATGTATATCTATTCTGTTCTTAGATCTATAGACTGATCGTTGTAACTAGACTCGGTGTCGTAGATGTTGAGCTGAAAAATTGTATTATAATGAGATTATAGTACTCCTTGGAGAACACGATTCTCCAGCTCAAACTTAATGTTAGCTTCTAGATTTATGTATTTTTGTTTTCTTTATGTATAAAATATATATATATATATATATATATATATATATATATATATATATATATATATATATATATATATATATATATATATATATATATATATATATATATATATATATATATATATATATGTGTGTTGTGTGGTACTTAGCTATAGGAATCCTATCTATATAGTTATATATGCGTGCCTTAGAGCCTTTCGATATCGTTTGAGATATATGTATTTTTTGAATCATTTAATCATATAATCATTTTTCGATCTATATAATTTTACTTCCTTATACATATAGAAACATCCGTTCTTCATAAGTTTTCCTGTTTTCAAACTGTGTTTAGCCAACCTAAATATTTCGAACTCTATGCTCATGTTGCTCTCTATCTGTTTTAATCTTTCTCTTTATCTCTATCTATCTCTCTCTCTCTCTCTCTAACTCTCTCTCACTCTGTCTCTATCTTATGTCTTTAATCTTCTATCTACTTAACCCACTCTATGCAGTTTATAAAAACTACCAATCTAAATCGCAATTGCGTCTATGAACTTAACAACGATGCCACAAATCCCAATCCAAGTTCAAATCTTAATCAAACGGTGAACGCGGCCGCGCAAGCCGAGGCCTTGAGCAGAACATTTAAAAATGAATTGGAAGAGATTTTGGTAAGCGCATTAACTCATTATCATAAATAACATTATCCATACAACTACAACTACTCATATCATACATATTATCTATGCCTATTGATAAACATGCTATATACATCCATATGTATATACAGAGGGTAGAAAATTTGTCTTAAGACTTAAATAGAGCTAATAGAGCTTTAAGCTTATGTCTGATAAACAGTATATAAAGCTATATTTCTTCAATGAAAGCTCCAATTTTAATGAAATAATTATTTTTTATTAGTTAAGATGAAGAAAATTTTAAATTATAAATTTTCATTTAATAAGATTACATCAAAATGGTTGATTTGAATAAGTATGGATGCTACGAATTTAAAAAATATTTCAAGGAAGCGGAATAGCTCAAGGAATAAAGCTAAGCTCAATTAGGCGGAAGTGTATTTGTGTGCCTAAGGCTAAGGCTAAGCAATATTCTTCAAGCTCTTTTACCACTCAGAATTATTTATATGACACCTAAGAGTGCCCTAAATGGGTGTGCACGACTAGGATAATACCTTGAATATATACTGAAAGAGTCATTCCAATCATTAGAATTGACATATCAAACTATACATATGACATCTATTGTGTGAGGCGGAAGGTGTCGAAGTTACGAAATATATTATTTATGATCAGACTGCGAAATGCACATATGCTTAAAATGAAGACTTCAACATATTTATTTGTAAAGAGTATTTTGTAAAAGTGTATATATATAAGCATAATTATATATTAAGTTTTTTTTTTCAATATGGATTATCTGTTACTTAACTTATATGTCATAAAGAAACTAACTTTATGACATCATTAAATGAAATGAGACTGCAGATAAACGTCCATCTTTATGCTAGAGGATAAGTAAAACAAATTGTTGTTTTGGTTTGCTTAGTTTGCTTTAGTTTAGTTTGTGTTTGAATGATGACTTTACTTGAATTAGTTCCAAATTGATTGATGGCTTGCGAGGCGAGAGATCTGGACGGCTGCTAATGGCGGTACTACAACATGAATATTAACAGTTAAACATCATATATATATAGATATTATATATATAATATAATATATAAATTATATATGTATATAACTATATATACAACAGTTTAGCTAACTGAAAGTTCTGTTTGCGTGCGTAAAGGAGCGTAAATTTGAAATCGGTATGCCGTTCGCATGCAAAGGCAAAGGCAAAAGCAAAAGCAAAGCCAATGGCAAAGGCAAAGGAAGTTGAAGCAAAGTTTTTGCTCCGGAAGTGCCCAACTAGGCAAGTGTCAAAACATTTGAGGCGGGTCACTTTTACAGGTTTTTACTGTAATACAAGCACTGATTGCTTTTATCGCCAGCTCTCACTGTCGCCCTCACTCGCTTTCCCTCTCTTTCTCTCTTCTTCTCTTTCTGCTGCACGCTCGCTGCCTCTGCTTAAGCTGTTTCTGTGTGGGTCTGTGTGTAGCCAAGCAACCGTTAGGCACACGCGCACACCCGCACACTCGTACTCATTCACACACACATGCATATGCACTCATACAAACAACTTTAAATTTGATAAGGACTTAACTGTTACCGTCGTCTGTTTCGTATTTGCAACATGATTTGTGTTGACCCAGTCAGGGGCAGAATAACGGGAACATGTTGTACAAGTGGGCGGCTGGGCGGTCGTAGCGTAGACCGTCACGCTTTAGCTCGTGGCCCGGATTCGGGTTCGGGTTCGGTTTCGGTTTCGGGTTTGGGTTCGAGTCCGCAGTCATTCGTCCGTTTGTCGTTATGTCCTGCGCCGACGCCCTGCTTTTGTTATTGTACAGGCGATATCCAGGCGAAGGTACGTACGTATTATGCTGTTGACATGCGTAGTACGTTAACGTAAAACGTAAAACTCAACGTAAGTTGAACGTGTGTACATATGCTAAATTGTAAACGATGTCTATGCAAATGTAGCGACAGCTTTTGCTGATTTTTTTCTTTTGACCTGATTGCACGCCGATAGCTGATAGGTTTGAGGGTGTGTCTCTGTGTGTGTGCGAGCTCTTAAGGATGTGCTCATGCAACAAATGCAATATCATCAATTGTTCAACAGCCGTGCTTAACGTATTAACTAGTACAAGGCGGCACATTGCTCAAACGCCCAATACAGACCTTTCTGCAAGCCCCCACCCCCTGCCCACTAACGACGTCTTTAGCTGTTGTTGTTGTTGCTTTTGTTATTGCTGCTGCTGCTGCTGCTGTTGTTGCTGTTGCTGTTGCTGCTGGCATTGGCGATTCGTGCGTCGCGCGTGGCAGTAACAGCAGCGCTGTCGACGTGTCGAGTCGCACAACTTTCGCGTATCCGTCAACTGTCCCCGTCTCTCTGTTTTCTGTCTCCGCTTCCTGTGCCCGTCCGTCTCTGTTCTTTCGTCTTTGGCCAACGTCTTTTTGCGCCCCATCGTGTGCAAATTGCCCGGCATTTCCAAATTGGTTCGACTCGACGATTTAACCACCTTTGGCGCGCGTGCCTCCACATAGCGGCTGTGCGTGCGTGTGTGTGTTTAGAATATTTAATAAATTTGCTTTAAAAAATTAAAGCTAGAGTTGTGAACAATTTGATATGTATATTTCAAAAATAAGTCCTAAAAAATACCATGCCTTAGCCATTAACACATTATAAATGCATAATTGTTCAACACTAGCAGCGCGCAAAAGAAAAATACAATTACATATTTTTGGCACTTTGTAAATTGCACACTTTCCAGTGCTGCATACACATACACACACACACACATACTCCCACAGCATGTGGCGTACAGCTGTTAAGCATCAATGATGTACACACGCACATACAGTTTTTGTTAGGGCTGCTAATTACATGTTGCTATCCCGCTTCAACGCCTTTTCGCTGTTCAACTAAAAAAGGAAAGCTGAAAAAAAAACCAAGCAAATGTCATCCATACTCAACATGGATGCTCTCAATGTTAAACGTTGTCATAGTTTACAGAGGGTATAAATTGTGCGCTGATCTCAACGCTAAATGGTTTTACCTGTAAACTAAATGTACATGTCTGTACATATGTATATATATATATATATACACATATAGGTATACATATATACATACATATAGTATTGTATTTACTGTATATTACGTATACGCCTTGGCAAAGTATTCACAAAATACATAAATTTTCGTTGTCTCTCCACTTGTACGCAGACATATTAACATACATACATATATTTGTATATATAAATGTATGTATATGTATGCATATACATATATTCATATGTACATTAATTCGCTCGTCTTTGGGCTTTTCATTCAGTTTTTCTCCGCTGGCATTGGGCAACTTATTAAAACAACAGCAAATTATATATGTACATATACCTATCTATATATACAATATATCTATGTATACATGTATATATCTGACTCTTCTGTTTTGTTTTGGCATCTTACTTGATTGCCGCCCGTCGTCGCGTTCCGTCTTTGTTGTCTTACGCCAGTTTTTCGCGCACATTCGATAGAAGCGCTAAGAAACGCGGCTTTTTCTATTGTGATATCCGGAATTATACATTTGTATAAACATATAAATATATATATTAATATATATAGGTATATTCCTGTGCGTTGTTGATTTATGGGCTCGCGTTTCGATCGGTCACGCAAGCTAATGCTTAATCCAATCTATAGATACAGTCAGAGAATAGAGTGAATAGCAAAAAGTAAAATTCATTTTTGAAGGATTACGAATATGCAGTTGGCATAGATATATACATATACATTCCTACATGTATACATACATAGACATGTACATATATTTGTAAAAGTATCCATTTCGTGGAATACGCACACAAACAGATTTCAATTACTTTTTATGTGTGAGCGCACATTTTGGTCCACCCCAAAGTAGACACATACACTCCGATACCATTGACAGTGTAAGAAAAAAATATAATAATTGAAGAATATCAAATTCAATTGAATTATCTGCTTCTTCACTAATTTCACTAGAAGCAATCAAGCATCACATTCTGAAGTGTACCTAATCAAATGCCGCGGAGTGTGCAGCTATAAACATCCATACATATGCCTGTTTTAGTTGCCAGATTTTTATTTGATGTCTTTTCGGGCTGTTCAACATGTGAACTTATAGTCTGTTGCAAATACAATATACACTCACACACACATACATGGGATTGTGCACGTGTGTGTAAATAGACAAATAAATAGGTAAAAATATTCCTCGTACGCTCAAATCAAGTCAAGCAAAGAAAAGAATCTATGGGAAATGAATACATCTACAATTATTGTATATACACACACAAACATATGCACATGTATAAGTTCTATACGAGATTTACATACATACATATGTACATCCAGTTTCCTTTATGTTTACACACACACACAGCATCCGCACGCACACGCACACGCACACACAGCAGCTTTAAGCTGAGGATGTCGAAAATGAAAGTTGAGCTTGAGGGTGGATGTTGAGGCACGTACACACACACACACACATATACGCACAGTCTCATATACACACACAAACACAACTTGTTGCTTGCTTTTGCTCTTGAGAGTTTTTATACAATAACTGTGTATTACAATATGTACTTAGGCAAAGAATAACAAGCTGTAAATTCAACACGCTCAAAATACATAAAAAGTAACTTTATTCCAGTGCTTTTGTGTGCGTGTGCGCGTGTGCGTGTACGTATTTGCGTGAGCTTGTATGTTTGTTAAATTGTAAATGCAACGCTGTGGGAAATTTTTAAAGCCCGAACTACTAAATAAAAAAGTACTTTTCACAACATGATCGATTGGGTATCGATAGTGCGGCATTCGCGACGACGTTTCTCCAATTATGTTGGTGCGCGGTCGCCGGTACGAATGCGTCGACGTCGACGTCAGTTGACTGCACCGCCGCCACCGTCACAGCAGCAGCAGCAGCAGCACCAACAACAGCAGCAACAACAGCATCAACAACACCAACAACAACAACAGCATAAATCTCGTCTACAGGAGAAGAAAGCTAAGGAGCAGCAGGAAATCGATGCCGACGGCGATAGCAGCAGCGTTAGCGGCCGTTACGTTTGCTGCTGTTCCAACGTAAGGCAATCGTATTATATATCACTCATACATTGATGGCAAGAAAAAATACGTCGAGCGTTGCTAGAATTAATTTAAATAACATTTAACTGATGTGATTATGTTATGGATAAGCTTTTAGGGAAATCAATTAGCAATAGAAAGCGCATATTTATAAGACTAGAGCTTTGTTTGGAGCTCAAGATTGTATACTTTTATTATTAAATTTGAAGTATCTCTTTTAAGATCTTTTTGACCTATATCGGTTAGCAATTAATATACTTCAAATTGATTTAACGTTTCCTATGTCTCGTCAAGTGTTACTTGAGTATTTTCTTGAAATGTCTGTCAAGTGTTAATGCATTCTTTCATTTATATAAATATTTATCTTTCGCAGAACCAACGCATGCGCATTGAGTCCGATTGCGAGACTGCCAAAGATGCTGCAGCCGACGATGCTGGCATTCAACAAGTGCGCAACTCGCGTTCACCCCAGCAGCAGCAACAGCAGCAGGTGGTACAACAGTTGCAGCAACACCTTAGCCAATCACAGTCCACGGCAGCAGCTAGAAGCGGTACTCAGATAGTAAGTGGCTGCAATTGAATGAATTATGTTTGCTCACTGCCCATAGCTACAGCTAAATCATGTCACACTAATGCTCCAGTTGAGAACAATTATGGAAAAAAAAAACTTAGAGAAGGCTATAAAAACTGCCACAGGGCAAAGCCAATGACTCTAAATTGCCAAACATTCCAAAAAATATGCTGAAATCAAATAATAATAACAATAAAAATAAAGACCGGATGGCCAAAATCGCACACAAATCGTTTGGCCATAGTTAATTTCGCTTAATTAGGCGCTTGAGTTCGAATGAAATAAAATGGCTGCCAATACCGCTTGTTTCCGTTTCCGCTCAAACTGTTGCTACACAGCCTTTGTAGATTATTTCATTAATTGTAATTGAAACCTAACCAGTGTTTTTTTTTTGTCCTTACTTTTATTATATTCAGTTAATGTTCGTTGTAATATTGTATTAATATGTTATTACCCTGTATTCTTATATTCTCACAATTTTCCAATCACGTTATTTTCAATAAATATATTTTTTATACATATTTTTTATTTGTTCACATTAATATTGATATCATCTATAATTTTGGGCATGTCTATGTTCTTATACTGTGTTACTATAAGATTATGTACTTATGTATTTAAGAAGCCATTAAAAACAATTGAATCAATTTTTCTAATACAATGTTTTTATTCTGATTGTTTGATTTGAAAATATTATGGTTTGTATAATTTAAGATCTTTATTTTTTGTTTAGATTTATTTCACTTTTAATGTTGGTTATTATATTAAAGATATAATGTTGTTTTTGTCACTCTCATACATTCAGAGCACTGTAAATGTTATTTATTTTAATTGTTGACCTAGATTTGTAGTTTGAATGGGTTTCACTATTAACCATCTATGGTTAGTAGTTTCACCTATCCACTGGCTGCTTTTGCACAATTTCCATTTAAATATTTTGAATTTCGCGCCTAGCTTACAATCAACTCTGATTTATATTCGAAGAAAGTTTTGCTAACACTGGATGTTGCGATCGTTGGTATCGATAGACGGGCTTAAGGCTATCGATCTTTAGTCCCGTCTCTAGTGATCCAAGCGCAAGCGTCACTCCCTTGATAAAAATGTAAAAAGTAAACACGTCGATGCTTACTAATTGTGCGTGTCAATGTGCAATCGTATGTAAAAATAAATTTAAATTAGCGTGCATTATTAATCAACAAAACCGATAGTATAGTGTAATAACTTCGAGGCCCTCTAAGCTACAAACTATATAGTTTGGTGCTGCCAGTCAAAACTGTTGATGTAGCAGCGGTAATATAACCGGTTACGCATACCAAAACACCACGACGATAGTTTGTTAGCATGCTAGAGGTGGGTCGGGATTGTAGGCTCGGCAACAATCGAACGGTTGCGCAGCTCTAGTCAGTCGCTGGCTCGCTAGAAAAATGCCAACAACACAACACGGGAAAAGAAGCAGGCATCGCATAATTGCGGCGTAAACGCATTAAGAAAATACATAAACGGTCTGTGAAAATCAGCGCCAGCAAGCCTATATACAAAATCAATGCGAACCGCGAGTAGAAATGTGCGTGTTTTATTTAGAAATGTGCTCGAATGTGACCTGAAAAAAATCCAGAACAAAAGCAAAACTCCTCTGTACATAAAATATTAATGTTTATAAATTTATACATAGATACGTGCCACAAACCACAAACCATAACAAAGTGTAATCAATGAAAAATTGGCTATCATAAAAACAGCTAAAACAAAAATAATGTATTAAAGTTGTGCCTTTTAGCTTGCGCTACTTTTTTATTTTTTACATTCGTCAGAACCGCGTACATATACGCTCACACATACATTTATACGCGTACGTTCATACACTCGTATGTATGTAGTCTATACACATGCAAGGCATAGCGCAAAAAATACCAAAATAGTCGGCGGTTGACACAGAGAGTGAGAGCCGAGAGCATTGCGACTGTTGATTTTTTTTTTGTTTTTTTGTTTTTTTGCTACTTACTCTGGCAAACAATAAATAAATATGTGTGTATGTAATTTGGAAAGCATAACATGAATGTATATATGTGTGTGCGATTAGAAGATTCTCTCACGCTCAGTAACAGAAACAGAACAAACGGTGCCCAGCAAGTTTTTAGCGATAGTTGTAGTTAGAACTCGCTCACGTTGGCAACGCGCCGCTTGTCTGTGTTGCTCTTACATATTTATTAGTTGTTATTATTTACTTATTTTTTTTTCGTTTTGCCTTTTTTTAAATTATTTTTTGCGTCTTGTGTGGATGACACTTGTTAGTGAGTCACGCGGCGGCGAGCGAGAGTGCAAGTAACATACGCTTATGTATGTATTTGTGGGCGTGTGTACGTGTGTACGCTTATACTTTATATTAAACGCAAAGCTAAAGGGAAATTTATAACATTTTGTTTGCTTAGCACGTAGTGAACGAACGAAACGTTGCGACGTAACAATAATAAACGTAAACGTTTACGCGACTGCGACGTCACTCTACCGGCATTTGTGATTGTCTTACGTTACGTGCAACGTTCATTGCTGTGTGCGAGAGAGAGTGAGTGAGTGAGAACAAGCGCGTTGTGATAATAATATGACTACACGCAAAAAGAAGCGTCAGGATGGAAGCAGCGGCGGCGGTGGCGGCTTCATTAAGAAAGTCTCATCACTATTCAATTTGGATTCGGTAATGAAAAAGTGCAAATAAAGTAAATTAAAAAAGAAAACACTAAGTATTTACAAAATAGATCAAATGTTCCATGCTGATCAAACTTGATATTGATATGTTAGATAGTTATCCCTGCCCCTGCCCCTGCCCCAGCCCCTGGTCTATTTATTTATGCAATATTTTCATTCCACGGCAGCTAACAAAGTTTTCGGATCGTTTTATATATATTCTCAATGATGATTCCATGGTTTATTTTTAAATTCCGCCATATATTCAGACAGCATAAAAAGTATAACAACAAAGGCAACAAGCAAATTCTCTCAGTGCGTCTTTGTCGTCGCATTTGTATGTCAAAATTTCAGTGAATAAACAAATTGTCTTTACGCATGCGTAACTCAATTTCTCCCAATGACACATGCATATACATACATACATATATATATTTATATATAAGTAGGCAAAGTAGTTGCGAATGGGCGTACAATGTAGAATTTGCAAAAATGACAGCTGCATCTTTCTCTCGCTCTTTCTAACTTCCTCTCCTCTGCATGCCGCCACGCATAGTGTCACCTACTTAACTGTGCATGCATGCATGTGTGTATGTGTGTATGCATATATGCATCGGCATGTGCGTGTGTAAACACGACGTCCGTTTGCTCATCTAGTGTCTCTTGCTCTCGCACTCGCACTCGCTCTCTCGCTCGCTCTCTTTCCCTTACTAGATCGCTCAAAATAGAACTCGCTCGTCTTCACAATTAGCGGCTGCCTTGAGCACCACCCAAATACAACAACAAAAGCTCAATGGGCTCTCTTAACGGTGTTTGCTTGAATAAGCAGGCAGACACATACTCATATCCATTTAACTACAGTGTGTGCTCGATATGAGAAACAGCTCTACTCTAAATTGAGCTTAATTATCGAGATTCGATTGACAATTAGTGTTAATCACTTCATTTAATGCTAAATATATACTATACGTACATATTTCAGTTACTCATATGATTTATTCAAAGAGTCTAGCAAATGACTGCAAATTCTTAAATCGCTGCACGTCTTCTAATTTGTATACAGTTTGAATATTATTTGTTTGCCTTTTTTGGCAACCAGATGGAAGGACAACAATGTTGATATTGAACCACATTTGGGGGGCAGTTTTGATTGGCTTTGGCTGCCGGTGGAGGTGCAGGTGTCGATTCATTTAGGCATAGTATATATACCCATTCAGATATATGTACATACATAGATAAAATTGGCATTGTGGTCATTTCATACACATCGGCAATACGTGTGCGTGTGTGTGTGAGCGCATGCAGTTGGCTTTGCGTCAAATCGTCACAGGGTTCCAATCAGACCAAAAGTGAAGTAATGCGAGCGAGAGGCAGAAAGAGAGCATAGGACGTATAATCCACACCCAACCAAACATTTCGTACTCATTCGCATTTGGTGGCAATTCACGGAACCATATTTGGAGCCTATATATGCATACATATAAGTATGTATGTGTATACCTGTATATATATGTAGAAGTACACCTATAATCAGTGTAATAGAAGCAGTAATACAATAAAACAGTTTTTTCTTCTTAATATTACGATAGTAAAATAAACAAAAAATTGTAATAGTAGAGTAGGGTGGCCGATAGTCTGCCTAAGCAGTACTTAATAATGGATAATCTTATAGACAAGCTTGACTGTAGTTAACATATTCAGAAAACTAAACGCACTGCTAATTCAAGGTGTAACTATTTTTTTGTTTTTTTGTTTATAGAAGAATATTTACTCATGCTACTTTAGCAAGTGCTGCCTTGTATCTGCCGTTAAGTAAATAAACCGTAATTGCCACACTCTGAAACTGGAACTCGTACATAAATATGTATGTATGTGCGTGCGTGTGTGTGTGTGTGTGTGTGTGTGTGTGTGTGTGTGTGTAACCCAACCCCAACCCCAACCCCAACTCGAAAAGTAAACCCAAAGCCGAAACCAAAGCATATTTAAAAGCCATATGATTTTCACTGATAAGATAAGGTGTGCTTGGTAGCTGATATGAAGACTATGTTGCCGATAGTATATAGTCCAGTGACTATATATAAATACATATGTATATGTATGTTTAAACATAACAACAAAAACAAACCACAACAATTGAAAATATTTTTGCGGTTTTTTGTTTTCTTCATATCGTTTGGTGAATGAGAATATGCCCGCTAAAGCATTAACCACTGAAGCGACCTTCAATGAAAAAAGCCTTTATAAAATTCCAATTGTAGAATTGTGATGCAATTGTTTACATAAGACACATACCCGCCCCCCTCCCCCCTCCCTTCATATGATTTCATCCACCTTTAAATTGTCAACTTAATTAAATTGAATTATTAAGCATAGCAGAGCCGTATGAATCTAATCAGTAGGAATTCGGTTAGTTATTGATTGAGTTCAGGTTCGTTTCAGGTGACAAAAGCAAAGCAAAGCAAAGGCGAAAACAAAATGTACATGTCAAATATTTAACACATTGTTTAATTTACTTTACTCTCTTCAGTTAAATTAACTAGAAGTCAAGAGAATATTATTGGGCTTATACAGTTTAAAGATATTTATTTCTCAAGGAATATAGCAATAATGCATGTATGAAATATTTAACAGAAACTTAGATTTGTCACTTAATGTATATAGCAAAAGTGCATGTTAAATATTTAACAACAGCTTAACTTCAATGCATAATATGCATTCCATCCTTGAGTGTGACTAGAGTTTGACATTCAATTGGAATGAGACTCTTCCTAGGGCATTACCAAAATACTAAAGACGTAAAAGAGCACAACTGCATGTCAACTATTTGTTTGACAGGTGAATAAACTGCCATATAATGAGCCATGAAAGCTGCACATTATGAGCCATGTGCGCTGGGTTAAGCAACAATTTGATCCAATTTGAAGTTGATCTGCGAATTAGTCACAGCACGTAGCTGGCAGACAGACGAACAGACAGACAGACACAGTTGACCTGTTCACCCGGCTTACGTCAAAGGTTAATAAGCAATTTGAAGCGCACGTGAGCGCAGCCAGTTTTGCATTCGAGCTGCAATTACTTACAGTCCGCTTGCCTCTCTGTGGCTCTGTCTGTCAGTCTGTCTGTCTGTTTGTCTGTTTGTGTGTGTCTTAATGAACTCATCTACACCCAGTTGCTAATCAATTGAACTCGTTTTTTTCACGCGTTTGCGTGTGAGTGTGAGTGTGTAGGTGTCTGTGTGCGTGTGCGTGTGTGTGTATTGTCATGTTTGTCTCTGAATGTTGCAATTTCACATAGTCGAAAAGCTGTAATTCATTTATGTAACTTGTAACTTTGGCATTCCATTGATGTAGCTGTAAATGCGCATCTTGTGCTGTCCGTCAGTGCGTTCCATACAAAAGCGTACAAAAGTTTCTATAGATTGATTTTTGGGTGGGGCCTTTGCTAGTTTACATAGATACTTACATGTGTCGAATGGGGTGCCTCGGGTGGGCTGTGTGTGTGTGTGTGTGTGTGTGTGTGGATTGAATTCCAGTTCCACTATATGAATATTAAGTAAGATTTCAATATCATCTTATATATATATATATATATATATATATATATATATATATATATATATATATATATATATATATATATATATATACATTTATAGATATCTCAATACAATATTAATAGGAATACACTTGACGCTAGAAAGCTAATTTCGTTGGCTCTAAACGTATAGCTAGTTCAAGTTGAAGCTGCAATTAGGTCTTCTTGGAATAGATGATCTATATAAATACATATTACATGCATTTATTTACTTCGTCTGTTAGTTTATTGTTGGAAATGATATATTACTGTAGCTCAAATTCAACTTCACGCTTGAAACTTTCCTACTTCTTTTTTAAGCCTAAGCCCGGTGAATAATGGTTTTGTGGAAATGTTTATAAATATATAAAAGACCGATGGAGGTAATAATTCATAACACGATTCAGGTTACGCTTTAAACACTGATTTTTATAATCGATTATTGCCAAAAGGGAATTTTCATAATTTTTTAGGGATAGATCATCTTTATTGTTATTATATATATTTTTAAAAATAATTATTTTCGATTATTATCAGTGTTAGTATCAAATTATAAAAATGATTATTATTTATAGATAATTCTTGTTGTTATCGATTAAAATGATGATAATGATCGATAAATACTAATTGATGATTGGAAATCGTTTTTAAAGCATAGCCAACTATTGAGGCTAGGAACTTCTATTAAATTATAATTATTTGGGATTATTAATACCTCCCGCGTTCCCCCTAACATCCGGATGTTATTACTGCGCAGTAAAGCGTAAAATAATTAGCAATTGACAATTCTGTGCAGGATTTAGGGTATCGCCTAGTCGGGCACTCCCTACTAGAGCACTTTTAATTGTTTACCATGAATCAGTCAGCTTTTATCAGTAAGAGAAATGAGTCTCGACTTGGATTTCTGAGCAATATAATTGAAACTGCCTTTCAAGCATTACAAATGTCCATTAGAAATTGAGACCGTCTCAATTTGAATCAGAAATACTTAATAGATGATATTGATAAAAGAAATCGAACCAATTGTCTCTTAGTCATCGAATCAAAATATAACTCTTAAGCTTAAAGTAAACAAATCGCATTGCAAAACGATTGATCTCACAATTTAAAGTTTTTCTCTCGGTCCAATTCGATTTTCAGCTACACAGGGCATCATCGACGAAGGTAAGCCGAGTTTCCAAAATGCATATTCAGTGTTTGTCATTTAAAACAATAAAAACAAAGACATCAATTAAACAACTGTCTTTATCTGTATTTTGTATACGTCCTGTGTTTAGTCAACATCCGGTGCGGAAGTGCATATAATATGATGTACTATATACATACAATATATGTATGTGTATGTGTGTGTGTCTGTGTCTGTCTTATCGTTTTACTTACAAGTCGTAAATGCATTTTCAATTAGTTATGCATGCCAAGCTAAGGTTAATTAATTAACAACTATAACAAATTAATCAGCGCTGATCCATTGGCCATTTGAGTGTGCGTCCTCTCATCCAGCAATTTGTCACATATTGGAATGTGTTATCGATGCCATTGCTAATGCCTTTGTGATTCCATTTGCAGGTGAACGGCGATGACAGCTGGTACTATGAGGACATACAGCTGGAGCGCGGCAACTCGGGGCTGGGCTTCTCGATTGCCGGTGGCACGGACAATCCGCATATTGGCACTGACACATCGATCTATATAACGAAACTGATACCCGGCGGCGCAGCAGCCGCCGATGGTCGTCTGAGCATCAATGACATCATTGTCTCGGTGAACGATGTGTCCGTGGTGGATGTGCCGCATGCATCCGCCGTGGATGCCCTGAAGAAGGCCGGCAATATTGTGAAGCTGCATGTGAAACGGAAACGTGCCACTAGTGCCACAGCAGCAGCAGCCGCAGCCGCAGCACCCACAGCCGATGCACTGGACAGTGTTAGTGCCACGGCCATGTCGGCGGCGTCGGCATCGGCAGCGGCAGCGGCCGGGCCAAAGGTGATCGAAATCGATTTGGTCAAGGGCAACAAGGGACTGGGCTTCTCCATTGCCGGCGGCATTGGCAATCAGCATATACCGGGCGACAATGGCATCTACGTGACCAAGCTGATGGACGGCGGCGCCGCCCAAGTGGACGGACGTCTATCGATTGGCGACAAGCTGATAGCAGTTCGCACCAATGGCGTAAGCATTCCGAGCAACTTTCTTTCATTCCATTCAATATAAACTAAAACTGTTTCATTCTTGCTGCTCCCAAAAACAGAGTGAAAAGAATTTGGAGAATGTCACGCACGAGCTGGCCGTGGGCACGCTCAAGTCGATCACTGATAAGGTGACGCTGATTGTGGGCAAGACGCAGCATTTAACCAGCAGTGTGTCACAGTCGGGCGGCAGTCTGGGCGGCCAGCTGGGCCAGCAGTCGCAGGCGCAGCACTCGCAGTCGCAGACCCAATTGGCAGCCACACGCCAACAGCAGCAGCAGCAGCAGCAAGTGAACTCGGAATCTGCAGGTGCGCTTAACACTGTTGGGCAGTCAGTTGTTGATTCAGTCACAGATTCAGTCATCAGCAACTCCACTGTTACCACAACCACAAACATAACCACTTCCAATACCAACAACATCTCCACCACCAACACCATCAACACCTCCATATCCACCACCACCACCAACAACAACAACACCACCAATTTAGGCTCAAGCAATAGCCATCTAGTGCAACATAATATTGCCGCAGTCAACAACAGCAGCAGCAGCCTAAACAACAACAATATTAATAACAACAACAGCAGCAGCAGCGCCAACATCAGCAGCAACAGCAACGGCAACAGCAACAGCAACAGCAAAACCAACAACTACAATAACAACGGCAGCAACTTGGTTGCAGTCGCTGCAGTCACACAACCACAACAACTACAACAACAGCTACCACAAGCACCCGCCTCTGCCACTGCCTCTGCCTCTGCCTCCGCCCCAGCTTTAGCTTTCAATGCTAAGCTTGCAATGCCAATGGCTGCTGCTGGTGGCACAGAGCAAAGCCGTTCCCAATCACCCTTGCCAAGGCGTAAGCGAATCATATTTGAACTTCAACTAATCACAACTCTCGATAAATTAACAACTCTCTCTATATGCATTTCTCAACAAGAGCCGCTAAACAGTCCTGAATCACCTACTAGCCCACACTAATACATTGCCAATATATCAATATATCTGCATATATCTCTGTATGTACTATATGCATGTGCATATCCGATAGATACACTCATTTAGGTCGGCTACAAACCTGTACAGCATACAGAATTTAGACTGGGCTCTTAACTAACTGCTAATCTATTGTTGCTATCTTTTAAGCTCTCGTACTAACACCTCTCCTATATATGTATATACATATATCATATACATATATATATCTAACTTAGTTGTGATAGAGTTCGATTCCCGCAGCACTCTACGGAGCGCTTGCACGGCTTTTGCTTGCGTGCTTGCTAAGCTGCTCGTGTTCCCGTGTTGTTCGTTAAACATTCAACATTTTGCAACACTGGCCCACAAAGCCGTGTTGTTCATTCCAATCTATACAAATCGAGACATTTGATCAAATACTGCAAATGTCGACCCGTATCTGACATGGCACTCGTCTTCGTATTTGCATGCATCAATGTATATATATATTTATAAAATATATATATATATATATATATATATATATATATATATATATATATATATATTTATTATGATATTTGTCTTATGTGTTTATTATAAGATCATATTTATCATACATCTAAATGTATCATAGGCGATAAATCAAACGAACACTCCACACGATCCTTATGGATTTTCTTTTAGTTTAATTTCCTTTCGTTTTTCTCTCTGCCTGTTTGTTATATGTTTTGCAAACATTTGATGTCCTTCCGGTTTTAACTGTTTGTTCAACGTTTTATATACATACTTATTATGTTCAAGTTTCCATTGGGAAATTATTGATCGATGTTTATCGTGTATAGATAGATAGATCAACCTAAAGTACATTATATCCTATTCAAATGTTATTATCAAATGGATATTCCCTATTATGAACGATAAATCTTTGATTTCTCTTAGCCATCCTCTTTTGTTATTATCTTTCTCTCTATCTCTCTTTCTAACCGTCTGTTGTTGGTTTCTGGTATCTGGTTTCTCAACTTCTTTGGTTTTATCAATTTTTTTCTTTCTATTCTATTCACACTCTATATTCCACCCGTGAGAGATTCGAATCCGAGTCTCTTGTGCTGTGGCTGCTATTATAAATTTCCTTAAGATTTATATATATATCTATGTGAATTCGCGACCTTCACTAATTACCCTTACCCCTCTCTATTTCATGTCTCTAAAAATGCACGTGTGTGCATTACTTTGTGTGTATGTGTGTATACATTACCGTTACACGCGTTGTGCATTATTATTTTTGATTGAAAACCAAACAAAAACAAACAAATTAAAAAAAAAAAAAAATCAATACATAAATTGTAAAACAATTATATGAATATAAATTTACAAAATAAATAATATATATAGAGCCTGGCTCAAGATACGCATCGACAAATGTCCTGGCGGCCGTGCCACCGGGCACACCACGCGCTGTCAGCACAGAGGATATAACCAGGTGAGTGAGTTGCGCCCCAGCCACAGTGAATATATACTATATAGCAAACAATTGCAGCTGCTTGTGATCTGATATGTGTATTACATTTATATTTATTTAATGCCAACAGAGAACCACGCACCATTACCATACAAAAGGGACCGCAAGGTCTGGGCTTCAATATAGTCGGCGGCGAGGATGGACAGGGTATCTATGTATCATTCATATTGGCCGGCGGTCCGGCTGATCTTGGCTCCGAGCTGAAGCGCGGCGATCAGCTGCTCAGTGTGAACAACGTAAATTTGACGCATGCCACACACGAGGAGGCGGCACAGGCACTCAAAGTGAGTTGTTAAACTAAATATATTTAATGTTCATATATATATTTAACTTATGTGCATTTAACCAACAGACATCTGGCGGCGTGGTCACTCTAGTTGCACAGTATCGTCCAGAGGACTACAATCGCTTCGAGGCACGCATTCAGGAGCTGAAACAACAGGCGGCGCTTAGCGCTGGCGGCTCGGGCACCCTGCTGCGCACCACACAGAAGCGATCGCTATATGTGCGCGCTCTGTTCGACTATGATCCAAATCGTGATGACGGTTTGCCATCGCGTGGCCTGCCCTTCAAGCACGGTGACATCCTGCACGTGACCAATGCCTCCGACGACGAATGGTGGCAGGCACGCCGTGTGCTCGGCGACAATGAGGACGAGCAAATTGGTATTGTGCCATCGAAGCGGCGCTGGGAGCGTAAAATGCGTGCACGTGATCGTAGCGTCAAGTTCCAGGGTCATGCGGCAGCTAACAATAATCTAGATAAGGTATAAATAACGCCTTCTGCTCAACAATGTCAAATTGCAACGAAGCGAAGTGAAGATGCACTAGGCAGATATATGTAGATATACGAAAGTTGAATGGAGTTAGTATAGCTCATAGTTATAGTAGATGTGCCGTTAGCCATATGAAAGTTCAATGAATTTTGCATGTTAATCGGCTCCTTTTTTATAAAACTGTATCAAGTCTTCATTGCTTAGTTCTAAATTCTGTGCTAGATATGAGTCAAGATTTGTAATATATTCAGCATTATATATAATGTTATTTGTAAATTATATAAAAGAACTCGTTTAGAAGCTATTAAGCAATATTGAGTTCCATTTGTGAATTCTTTGAGACATTTTACTATACTATTTTGATAGCTTAGAAATCATAACAGGCCTACTTATTAGAGTTTATTAGAGTCTCGATGATTCGAAATGGCAAGGGGATCAGTTTTTTTTTTCGATTTACAAAGAAATTCAAATTATCTAGAATTATTGAGAACTAATTGTTTTCAAGGGGATAGAATTTTTTTTTTTTTTTTTTTTGATATTTCGCGATTTTTGATTTACGAATTATCGAGACTCAACTGTATATAATATTTTGTATAGACATTTTGCTCTACCATGTTAAAAGCTTTACAAACGTAACTGAAATAGAAGCTCCACCTTCTTATATCATCATTATCAGCCTTTGCTACACTTCAGCCCACGCTTCGAGGCTTAATGACTGGCTTTTTTTATTTTTAGCCAGCCTTATTGTTATTATATTGTTGACTATAATGAATGTAACTTTTCACTAACTGAATGACATCCTCCCTCTTATTACAGCAATCAACTTTAGATCGCAAAAAGAAGAATTTTACGTTCTCACGCAAGTTCCCCTTCATGAAGAGTCGCGATGAGAAGAACGAAGATGGCAGCGATCAAGAGCGTAAGTAGCATAGCTCCAGGGCGTGGCATTCAACCAAACAGAAAATCTATTGAAAACGAGATTAACGCGTTAATCCAGCATTTCAACAACAACAACAACAACAACTACTACTACTAACAACAACAATTATTACAATAATAACAACAACGACAACAATAGCATCGAGAACAAACAGTTGTGAAAAATCTTGAGCAACAGAGCAACAATTTATTTCGATAATAATTTGTTAAACGCTCTCTCACTTCCGCTGTCTGCCTATCTCTTTCTCTCTCACACTCGCTGTCTCTCTCTACGTTTGTGTGCTTTTGTCTTTGTCACACTGTGTTAAATGCTTTTCGTGTGGCATCTTCTAAGTGTGTGTGTCTTCGCGTTGTCTAATTGCAATTACAATAAGTGTGTGTACACCTGTCTCTATCTATCTATCTGTCTCTGTCTCTGTTTCTCGTCGTCTCTCTGGCTGTGTGTGTTGGTGTGTGAGCACACGGCTGGAGCAATTATAGGTTTATATGACGTACATATATTGTTATAAAGTTAAAGTTAATGTTTTTTTTTTGTTTTTTTTTTTTGTGTTCGTTTCTATTCGAATATGTTAATTTAGTTTGTAAGCGGAAAAGTTGTCGATTTTCAGTTTCTTTTTCGAAATATATATATGTCTATTCATATACATATGTATGTTTGTATGTTTCATAATTGTTATTTTTTGCTTATGTTCAATAAACAATTTATGAATTATGAAATTTAACTGTACTACGAATTGTGTACACACTCACACACAGTCGACTATACACACACACACACACACACACACTCAAACACCCATATAATCTTTATGATTTGATCATATTTCAATTCGGCCTGTAGACGAATATTTTTGTTTTTTTTTCATATATTTTTTTATACATATTTATGTTTTAATATGTTTTCTATATGTTTGTTTTTATTGAATTGAATTTGTAACTATTATTTCATGCATTTTACATTTGTTTTTCGTTTATTTTCATATTTCGATTGTGTTGTTCCACACACACACACCCACACACTTGCGATGCCTACCTGCGATTCCTTCATATTCAACAAAAACAACAACAACAACAACAACAACAACAATATTGAATATATATATACACACACACACATGATTGCTGTGATCACCTGGATTGTACTGTGATTTCTCTTGCTGCGTGTGTGTGTGAACAATCTGAACTTTTCTATATATAACTATATATGCTATATAGCGAACGGATTTGTAAACAGCAACAGTGAAATCGATGTTAACAATGTTAATAATAATCAAGCGAATGAGCCCCAGCGTAAGTCTCTCTCTCTTCAGATCTCCCTCTCTGTCTTTCACCTTCTCTCTATACCCCGCTCTGTGACTGTGTGTGTGTGTGTGTGCCACGGACACAACCACACACACACACTCTTGTATGTGTGTTTACTTGTTACTTGTGGGTTATCCATCTCAAGTTGTTATCTGTGTACTTTGAATATACATCAATATATATAATATTATACTATATCTACATATATACATAATGTACAACCTTTGGCATATGCCTATGTATGTTAATCTTCTTACATTGGTTATGTTTAAGCATAAGTTTTGCACACGGTTTATGTATTAGATGGGGTATTTGTGCTTGGGTCCCAGGAAGAGGGTCTCTCATACACACACACACATACACTTACAACCATACACCCACACATCTGTATACGAAAACAGCATATGTACTTTGAGCTCTACTAACAAAACGCACATACTTTAAAGACCTATCTCTCCCTATATATATATATATAGTGTTAAGAGCTATATTTCAGTATGTAACCGCCCCAACTCTATGTATATTATATACCTACATACATATATATATAAATCAACGTGCTTCAGCGTTCGCTACAAACAACGACAACGACAGCAATAGCAACAACAACAACAACTATAATAATTCCTATCTATGCTCATTACATTAATATATCTACATCTACATCAACGATTACAACAGCTGTATGTGCACACATACATACATATACATAATGTATACTGCGTGTTCTGGAATAGCTATTTAACGCTTATTACCTGTATTACCTATAGAAGCAGCTATTGCTCTAGTCACGTACTGCTGCTAAGCAAGCAAAAAGATACAGGAAATAATACTATAACATCATCATTATCATCGTCATTATCGTCATCCACTCGATTCTCTCTAAATCTAGCTATCTATCTCTCTGTCTGCCTCCCTCCTCTTTTCTCTCACTCTCTCTCTCTTTCTCTCTATCTCTCTGCCCTTCCTACATTTGCAGAGGCACACCGAGTTGTGTCTCAAAACCAAATCGAAACTGTTTAATCATCTTTCATTGAAACATACATGAAACTATGAAACTATTTTAACTACTACTCTTACATAATTATCTATATTTTTACTGCTATTCTGTTTTAAACTGACCAAAGCGTATATCTTTTTCGATTCTCTTTTTGTTTTTCTCTTCGTTTTCCAGCTTTTATGCTTTGCTACACACAAGACGATGCCAACGCTGAAGGAGGTATGTACTTGACTATAAACTTGTTGCCTAACTTGAAGCAATTACATATAGACACACTCACACATATACATATATACATACACATGAACAACAATTAACTCACACACACACACACACACACATTTTTCTCTCTCTCTATATATATATTTGTATTTACACTGACAAACTAATTCGATGTTTCATTCAGAAACACATATACATACTTGTATTATTTTTGTATATGTATTTACATACATACATACATACACGTTTACATCAACTACACTAATCCACATGTAATGCATACTAAACTCACTCATTTCAATAAATATATTTTAGCATTTTACGCATCTTTAGCAAGTGAAATATCTAACAATTACATACATATACATACTTACATATATACATACATACTTACACATATTACTTAATTAGTTATGAATAGTTAATAAAGAATAATTTTGTGTTTTTGTTTCTCTTTTTTCTTTGGATCTCATATTTCTCATAATTATTTTATTTCTCGATTTATTTTTACAAATTACCCTTAAGTCCTCTCTTAACATAGACTTAAACATCTGATACATACATATATTACATATACCTATACATATCAATATTTATAACCATTTCAATGCAGATTGAAACATTTTAACTTTAAAAATTTAGATAATTTCTCAAAGTTATAAAAATTTATAAGGAACTCAATTTGAAATGGCTCACCAGTCCATCTAGCTGAATATTTGACTATATATGTATTCATATTTATATTCTATAAACTTGATCAAGAAACGTTTCTTCATATATCTCAGAATTCAACCCAGATAAGGCCTAACTCTCTTTGGCTCTCTTTTGTTTATCAAATTTCTCTTTGCTCTCGAGTTTCGTAAAAGTTTTGGCATAGCTATAAAATGTAACTGTATTTTCTATAATCCAATATATACATATATCTGAGGTACAAGAATCTATTATATACACACTCACACACATACACATGCATCTTTGGCATATGTAAATAATTGATATTTATTGTGATCATACTTTGGTTTACTCTTCTTCTTAATTGTGTACAGTACGATGTACTTATATTGTGCATATATACATATATATATATAAACTATACATATATTGTGTATCTATAGCAAGCGAAGTGATTCGTCCCAAAACGAAATACCGAATATATTAATCGAAAACGAATTCTCTATTTTGATGTCTTGCATATTATTATTTTGATCGTTCGAATTGATTAACCGATATTCTATGTGCATATAATACGTATATATATACACAGAAATATATATATGTATGCATCGAAGTATATAGTATATCGGCCATGTCATATAATATATTTAATCCAACTAAAAATATTTCCAAATGTCTTAATGTTTATTGTTTTTCTCTTATGTTCAAATTACCATCGAAGATATTGCGTAAACATAAACATTATCTTCTTGAAACTACATAATCAGTGATAGAATTCCATTCATCTGGCATTACTTTTGCTCCGGAGCATATATCTATTATATATATGTACATATATATATCTCCAATATTTCAACTCTCACAACTTTCAAATCATCATTTCAGATATATACATATATATATATATTTTACCAAATAGTTTCTGACTTCAGATTCGTAGTTTTATTTTTCCACATTACAATGAAGACAAACCGATTCTAGTCGATTATATATATATTTGTACATAATCACATTACTGTGCGTGCGTGTGTGTGTGTGTGTATTTGTCACTAATCGTTGTGCCAATTTAAGTTAACTAATAAGTAAGCTTATACTTGTTTAGTACTTAGTACACACACACACTCTCTCTCTCTCTCTCGCTCTCTCTCTCTCTCTATAGATATCCTATATATTACAGTCTATCTTTATATTCATTTAGGCATTATTATTATCGTTTTTTATTTACGTTTCGCTTTTATTAATAAAAAACAAAAAATGAAACACGATATCAAATCGTATAATAAAATTCCACATGATTTCAGGGTTATTATTTGATCTGTTGGCATATTTTGATCATTTTCTCTGAAATTCACTGTTCACCTTCATATTTCCAATTTTTTGGTTTACTGCAATTCGAATAGCTCAGTTTAGAAAACTCGAAAACACTAGCGTCCTGTAAATAATCACAAAAAAAATATATATATAATTTCTATATACATATGACTTTATATATATGCATATATATTAATGCATATATATGTCTGTATGTGTAAGGCGTATACGCCCAGAAATATCCATTTGAACAGTCTAATATATAATCATGATATGAAATATCCAATAACACGAACATACAAGATATCCGAAACTGGCATTCCGAAGAATTTATACCTTTGTAGATATGCGAACGCTTTCTAAATGAAACTTGTGTAAAGCACATTTGGAGTATATATTTATATATAATTTACTTTTATTAAAGTATTTACTGCATCGGGAAAAATGAATATATTCCTTATAATGCCTTCTCTAAAGATAATTCAAAGAAAAACCTTGTTTCCACATGCACTCCGGAATTTTATCTTATAGGCGTGAAATCTAAGGGCTATCGTGATATGTATTGTAACTATACATATCCCCAAGAGAACTTAAATACAAATATTTTTTCTCCACAATACCCAAATATTAATATTTGATGGCCATGGATAACTAAGTAATATCTTGATCCAATCATGCCGTTTCCAATGTATGTTCAATAAATATCCAGCTGAATAGGTAGTTTTATGAAGTGGATATAAACATATATCGGACATAAGTCTCTATCTATGGATATATTAGATAAAACCATATATATTTATTAGTCCTTATCTAAAAAAAAAAAAAAAAACGATAGGCCATTCTTTGGTTGCTTTTTTTTTTAATTTATAAATTTTGGTTTCTTCACACCAAATTATAGACATACACACATACACGCCGAATACGCATTCACAAGAAAGAAAATATACACCCACAGACCACACACATACATACACACACACACTCTCTCAGATTCTCTTAAAGATCGTTTAAATTTTTGCAGGTTAATCAAAATATATACAAATGATTAATTTTGTTTATCTTTTTCTTCTTTTTTCTTTAATTAATAATTTCCTTTTGACTTAACCTTTGTGTGTGTGAACTGTTTTAAATTTTACGTTCAACAATTACAAAAAAAAATCTACAAAAAAAAAAAAAAAAAAAAAAAAAAACTAAAAAAAAAAAAACTAAATGCTTCATCTACTTTATGCTGCCTACTGCTATTTACGACTCTACTACCTTCTGTCACAAAATCTACTACTATAACTATTATCTACTACTATTACTGTTACTACTACTACTGTTACTGCTACCACTATTTACAACAACATCTACTATTATTTATGTTCAACTATTTACGATATTGTTTTCAATTCCGTTTCGTTTGATAATTCATATATATTTGATGTGTGTATCTACTTCAACTATTATTGTCTTACCATAAAACAAACCCAACAAACGCCACAACAACAAAAACAACTGAAACGAACATATATATATATAAAAAAAAAAAAATATTGTGAATACGTTATTCAATTTGTTGTGTTTTACATAAAATTTACCGTTTTTGTTCTATAATATGAAAAACAATTTTCTTTTAATTGAATCAAACAAACTTTTCAACTGATTGAATCTATTATTATACCTATTATGAATACATCAATATATATATATTTTAAAATATATATTAAAAAATAAAAAACAATACATATATATATTTGTTACAATCATGCGCTCGTTCATGTACTGCGACAACAACAACAACTTCAACTACAACTACTTCTACTACTAAATTAATCAACTACTTTTCCCGAACATCACAATCAACAACCAACCAACCAACCAACCGACCAATCAATCAATCAATCAATCAATGAATACATATGTATATATATATATATATATATATATATATATGAATCAATTATGTGCAAATGCGCGCAGGCGAGATTATCTACAGAGTGGAATTACCCGATATGGAGCAGATAACTTTAATCTACTTGGAGAATAACGATGCTGACTATCGTAAGTCGAGCAACTAAGCAACAATTTTTGTAAAAGATCCAAAAAACAAACCATACAAATGCAACAACAGCTATAAAGGCCTTAAAATATTACAACTTCAATTTCAATTCATTCAAGCTTACGTTCTTTATATAAATATATATAACAAAAAAAAAAAAAAAAAAGAAACTAGGTTAAAATCAGAACAATATCCAGAATATAAATATATATATATATATTTATTTTTGTTCTGTATTTTGTTTTTAAATATATATATAATTTTTTTTTAACTTTAGTTAGCAAACAAAACGAAACTGCAAGCAATTTTCCTATTTAAATGCCGGTTACTTGGTTAGTTTCCCATCCCTTTCTCTCTCTTTCTCTCTGTCTCTCTCGTTCCAACTATCGCACACTCTGTCTCTCTCTCTATCTCTCTTATACTATTTTTCTATAAATCCATCACTCATGCTATTCAGCTCGAATATCTGCAATTGATAGAAATATTTCATAATACTCAACGAAGGTCTCATTATAGAATTTTCCTATAGCTAGTATTATTAGCATTTTTATAGAGGAATGGTTTTTAGCATATTACGAATATAACAAATTTCCATTTCTACTATGCTTTTTAATTTGTTCTTTTGTTCATAGTGCTAAGTTTCAATTGATCAGAAATGATCCAGTCTCTCAACCGATTTCATTTATTATGATTTTGTGTATTATCGAAATTTTTTTGTTTTGTTTTTAATTTTAATAATTGAACTTGAGCCTATTTTTTTGTTCAACTTCAGCGCTGAAAGTGTTCGATGGCTTATCGGTAACTTCTGTCGAGCGTCCGATACCAAAAAAAGTGAATTTATTGCGCATAATCATGTGAAATACGCTTAAGCTTTATTGGTTGAGCGCGTATTTGAAGTTTGTTAGTCAAACCTTTTGTTAAACCCCTGCTACAGTTATGTTTTATTCCGTAGCTTAGGCACGAGTCACGATGTTTACGATTTACGATCTTAGAGTTTAGTTTCTTAGTTGGGTGCATTAATGCCTGTTCTCTTGTTTTTCTCTATACGATATCTTTCTCTCATACTCTCTGCCTCCTTCTTTTGTATATTTTCCAATTTCGCTTATTTATTTCTCTTAATTACGTTCCATTCCGTTTAAGTATACACATTGAGTCGTTCTCTTTCGTTTCTTTCTACTTGCTTAGTTTCATGCTGTGCTTTATTCATTTCACAATTTCTGTAGCGATGCAATCGTTAAGCCGAAACTATCCAACACTGATAGATGTATTGTTATTGTCATTGTCATTTATCGTATTCGTTATCGATATCGTTCCATTGCACGCACATTCCCACAAATTTTTGACTCATTTTCGTTGCAACACAACCGGAAGTGAACAACAGCAAACACCTTTTCCAAGCTCTAGTCTCCCCCCAAAGATAAAAAGAAAGAAAACTTAATCCCCATGAGCAATCGAGCAATCGATAAATCAATTATTATTAAGATAACGAAGAGGGATGTGAACGACGACAAAACATATTTAGTTCAATAGTATAATATAATGATGTATTGAAAAATTGATGAAATTGAAAGCCTCTGAAGATATTATATTATAAATAAAAGAAAGTCTTGTTTGATTTAAGAAGTGTTCTTAATTTATCCACGATATATCACGTACTTGATTACTCCAGTCTGAAACTCTACTCATTTCCCCAAGTTACGAAATTGAACAATTTTTATTACATTTATTTCCTTTGCCATAATTATTTCCTCCAACTTGATCAGGGTTTTACTCATCCAATTGGCTTTGGCGTACTTTGTTTAATTGGCATCATTTCTTTTAATTTACTAATTAATAGTTGTATCTAAACATGAATTGCAAATGAAACCCATATGACAAGCTGTAACTGAGTGAGTAAACTACAAAAACAACAAATATTCCAAAACCCAAATGTGAAATCGAAACGAACGAGCGAGCGAACGAAATGATCGATAAAATCAACAAACCAAATGTTAAACTTATATATTCATGTATATGTAGATATATACATAGAGTATATACATATATAGAGTATATCTACTACTTAATGAAACAGTAAACGACAGTCAATTATTGTTTCCCTAGGCTAATTATATATACATACTTGTATATGTATTTAGTATAGTTATAGCAACTAAGTTAAGTTATAAACGAATTGCTACTAAACTCTCATATAAATCAAGTCATCCGTAGTACATATCATATAGATCACTTGTTGTTTGTCTTGCACTAACATCTTATTATTATTTCGAGTCTTATGTCTGAGTATTTTGTGTTGTGTTTCGTGTATGCATTAGTTTTGTGCACTTAATTTACTAATTGAATATATGTATGTATAATAATAATCCCAAGCTAAATCTGAGTATCGAATGCCTCAGATTTGGTTTAACTGTATTTAGTGTATTTTTGGCTAGTCTGAATCGTATATAAATAGCACACTTCTAACTGTAAATTTGCGTAAAATACAACCAAAATGTATATATATATATATATGTATGTTATATATCTACAATTCTACAACTTATTTTGTTAAATTTACATTTAAAACAAATATTTAGTTTTTCCTTTCTCCTATTTTCCTATTACAATAATTTGTTGAACATTCTTGTGCCCAGTTTCCTCACTCTTTAAATCTATTTTAAAGCAAATAAAATATTTGGTATTTTCGTAGATTTCATTTTGATATTCCATTTTGTTATTTTCTATATATTTGTTTCTTATCTTTCTGTTCTGGTTCAGTATATGAAAGTGATCGCTATACTAAAGTCCCTTAGCCTAATCGACCTATCCGAGAGCCTTCGTAGACAATAAATTCAATTTGAAAATGCTTTAAACCTAACTAACCAGGACAAAAAAAAAATTAAAATAAATTTGTAATTATTTTTGCCTATAAATATCTCTCTTTCTCTCTTTCTCACTTGATATCGTATCCTTTTTGCTTTCTATTCTATTTATATTTTTATGCCTATATTCTATGCTATTCCAAATTGAAAACTTTTAACCGTAAACCCAAACAAAGCAAATGAGCAAAAATCTGCTTGATTTCTTCTGTAAAAAGAACCAACAAGTCTACTTACTGACCCCAAAAACTCAACTCCCAACTCTAATGTCCCCCATGCCCGAGGACCTAGATTCCATTCATTCTGTACATTTTGTTTTTGCACGCGCACAAAACCTAATAGCAATGCCTACTATGCTTACAGCTTCCGAGGAGAACGTGCTGTCCTATGAGGCCGTGCAGCGTTTGTCCATTAACTATACGCGTCCCGTTATAATACTGGGACCGCTTAAGGATCGTATCAACGACGATTTGATATCCGAATACCCGGACAAATTCGGGTCATGTGTGCCACGTAAGTGACAAACAATTTGAAGAATTTGAATTGGAATTGGAATTGGAATTTTGTTGATTTCATAAACTCTTTTTGCACACCAACAGATACCACACGACCAAAACGCGAATATGAGGTCGATGGCCGGGACTATCATTTTGTGTCGTCGCGCGAGCAAATGGAGCGCGATATACAGAACCATCTGTTTATCGAGGCTGGCCAATACAATGACAATCTGTACGGCACTTCGGTGGCCAGCGTGCGCGAGGTGGCCGAGCGGGGCAAACATTGCATATTGGATGTGTCGGGCAATGCAATCAAGCGCCTGCAAGTGGCGCAACTCTATCCGGTTGCTGTGTTCATAAAGCCCAAGTCTGTCGACTCAGTGATGTGAGTATCTCCAAATGAGACTACATTGTGTGTGTGTGTGTGTGTGTGTGTGTGTGTGTGTGTGTGTGTGTTTGTGTGTATAATCCAAATACTTATGTTTATTGCAGGGAAATGAATCGTCGCATGACCGAGGAGCAGGCAAAGAAAACATATGAGCGCGCCATTAAGATGGAGCAAGAATTCGGCGAATACTTTACGGGTAAATCTGAGAATTGAAATTGAGCAATCAGAATGGATATTAATATAAACCATTGCAGGCGTTGTACAAGGCGATACGATCGAGGAAATCTATAGCAAAGTGAAATCAATGATTTGGTCGCAATCGGGACCAACCATTTGGGTACCATCGAAGGAATCTCTATGACCAACAGCCACAACAACATGGACACTGCCGCCTCGAGTACGTTGTCGACCTGTTTCGAGAACACCAACAACAACAACAACATCAGCAGCAACAGCAGCAGCAGCAACAAATCAGCCGCAACAAAAAACGTCACATTGATGCACCAACGCAACGACTACGATGACGAAGACGAAGAGGACGATGACGATGACAACACCAACAGCAGCAACAACAGCAGCAGGAGGAGCAACAACAGCAATACACATCAGTCAGCCCGATGTTGTTCATGTTTAGAATTGTTATTGTTTCCAGATAAACAAATAGCAAGAAATCTGATTTGCTGGCGCCAGTTAAATGAGAGCCAAAACAATACGATATCAGTCAACAAACAGGCAATGTTTTTAGCCAAGTTGGTTTGTTCTTGATTTCTGGCTCAAAGCTCTGAAAATGAAAAGGAAAGCAAAATGATGAAGCGGCAACTGTTTAGTTTAAGTTAGAACAAAATTGATAAAAGAGAAGAAGAAGAAGAAGATAAAACACAAACCGAAGCATATTAATCATAAGATCTACTTAATATGGAGCAGTAGTAGAAGATGATGACGATGATGATAAGGAGGAGGAGGGACAGAAAGTTCGTTAAGCGCTAGAGTTGTTTGTTTATGTTGATGTTTATACGAGAGTTATAGCGAGTTAGTTATATTGACGCTAATATAATATATGGTATATTATTATATACGCACGCATACATTTGCTATGCATACACATATGCGACTGTATGTGTATATACATATATGTATAATAGGTATATGAATCATTAAGTGCGACAAGCGTCAAATATACTGCAAAACGTTGAATGATAGCAATTGAAATTGAATGAGTTCAGGCGAATACGACTATATATATATATATATATATATATATATAGGTATACATGGGTAAATAGACGTTGACGACGACGACGATAAGTTGGTGCATTTCTTGTTAGATGTATTGTATTTTTTTTCCCCCACGCGCCTTTGCCTAATGCAACACAAATCACATAATAAGCTGCATATATACATAATAGTCTATGCACTCACACATACACTCAATTACACACACTCACACACATTTACACATAAACATGTATGTACACAAATACCATGTAGCCTAACTAAAGAAAAGCGTCAGCAACGAGCTATATATATTTATATATGTAAATGGGTATATAGAGCGGAAGAGAGGGCAATATCACTTCTTTCAATGCAAAAAGTCATTTAACTATTTAACATACATACACTATATGCTAGACAGTATTAACAAATTGTGAATGCGTCTAGCATACGCATAATACGATCAATACAACATATACACCCATATATATAATATGTATATATATATATATATATATATATATATATATACATTTTTTTTTTTGTATTGACAGCAACAGATTAGCTAATGTTCTACAAAGAGAGAAAGAAACAAACAAATTTATAAATTATAGACAACGCACATAACTGCTAATTATCCAATATATATATACATATTATTTTTTTTTCTAATTTTCTATATTTTTTCTAAGAAATTTAGTAAAATTCAAGTTAATCAAGTTAAATCTTATGGGTTTTTTTTTTGTGTTTCACATGTCGCCGCCGTTCCGAAATATTTAGAAAACGAATTAAATGTATACGTTGTGCATTTATGTACATAGCTATATGTCTATATAACATGTGGAAAGGGGGCATGTATTTGCATATTATGATTAATACTATCATTATTATTATCAATTTTTTTTTTTGTTACTTTACTTTCGTCCCTGTTCTTTATTTTGTAATATCAATATTTTGTAAATTATAAAACCTTCGATCGCTGAACAGTATCTATGTACGTGCAGACAATGCATACAAAATTCTTTTTCTTTCACATTGTACGCAAAATGCATTGTTGTATTTAATAAAACCAACCTAAGCGAATTATATTAATTTAAATCTAAAAAAAATAAAAATAAAAAAAAAAGGAAAACAAAAAACAAATGCAGTAAATGTAATAAAAAATAAACTACAAAAACAAAAAACAAACATCATGAAAACAATTTCATCAAAAGCGTAAAAACTTTTTAATCAATTTTCCCCATTTCAAGTGAAAATCAAAAAGAGAAGAGCATAATACAAGAGAATGTGTGAAATAGTTTAAAAATAATCAAAAGATGATTTTGTAAAATTGTTGAAACAGGACACATACACGAACATATATACACACACCTATATATAAATATATATATATATATATACCCCATTGAGCCACGACTGCGAAAATGTTAATGATGAGAGAGAAATCGAGAAATCGAGGCAGTTAATCGATATATGGCACAGATATTGACGAATCTTATGGCGAATATGGGCTGCAATTAGTAAATAAGATAGCCAAAAATAAAAAATATATATATATAATATATATATATATAGAAAAAAGGAAATGTTGTAAGTCTTAGTCGAATCAGCACTCCCTGATGAGCGTTAGGACTGTGTGTGTTTGGGATACCCGAATTCTTGACTCGAATCATGCGATCAACCTAACTTATAGTATACCCAGATATATGTATCTGTATATGTACATGTATATAGATGTGCGTGCATGATATATGCATAGAAACACTTACTTTGATTACGATTAGTGCAAAGAAGACTCCACTCTCTTTAGTATGTACATATTGTACGGAATTTTTGTCTTTCAATCGATTAAACCACATTATACATTAAATTTATTCTGCCTAAAAAAAAAAAAGGAAAAAAGAAAACAAAAAAGAAAAAAAAAAAAAATAAACACCCGCCTTGCAATCTCTTTAGCGAAGTACATTGCGCCTGTGTAAGCTAAATTAAAACGGAAAGCAATCTGAAGTACATGAAACCTGATGGAAGACGAATGGAAATTTCAAGAAACTCGGCAAATTTTATGCATGTTCAAATGTTAGTTGATAGTTGAAATAAAACAGAGTATTTAGCGAGTAAGTGTGCTAAACAAAATGAAATGAATAGATTTAATTGCATACGGTATGTCTGTATGTTCAAGAAAATGATGAATAGATGTTGAAGAAGAAGCAGCAGATGTTCACATACTTATGGGGTTTTAAGCCCAAAAAATTGCGGTAAGCGTTCTTTTCTATTAGAACAATTTTAGTGTATTTCAAAGTCAAGGTAACTGTTCCAAAGCCTTAAATGCAATTAATTAACGCATTTACGAGTATATCCAAGTTACACACATACACAGACACACACACATACACATACACAAATTCATTGCTCTACTATACATATATATATACATATATATATATATATATATATATATATATATATATATATATATATATATGAAATGCCCCCCTTGAGAAAAACCAAAACAAATGACAATTTTTGATGTAGCCTTAGAAAGTATATGCAAGAATTTACAGAAATGAAAATAGAGCATAAATTACAAAAAAAAAAAAAAAAACAGTACATATATATATTAGGGCTAATACTGAAAGGCATTTAACGATTCATTGTTCAAAAAACAAAAATGAGATTTATCGTAAATTTTGTCAGCGTATACTTAATAATTATTGTGGAAGCATTTCATCAAAATGGTGCCTTTATCAGTTATTGTTGTCGGTATTAAACAAAAGAGAGTAAACCCAAAAAAAAAAAAAACACATAATTCAAATAAAAAATGAATAAAAAGAAAAAGAAAGCTAAATTAAAGAATTACGTAAATTTACATAGTTAAGTACTATTATTAATCCATATTGCAGCACGTGCTATTTATAGTAAATGAAAAGAATTCAAATGAAAATCTGCAGTTGCGGGCTGTGATTTCTGCTCGAACATACACACACACGCACACACACTCACACACATACACACTCATATATATATATATATATATGTATCTTCTTAAATGTCAGCTTAAGCAGTTCAGTTCAAATATATTTGCAAGTCGTTCGATTGTAGTTAAATCCATTAGAGACCAATTCCTGAAACCCAACTAACAAAAGAAACATACTGATATATACACATATATCGACACCATTATATATAAATATCTATATAATTGCAATCATCAAAAGATTTGTTGTTATTGTTACGGTTTTTCATTAAGAAAAAAAAAAAAAAATAAAAGATGAGAAAACAAAAAGAAAAATAACATAAAATGTATCCAAGTACAACTTATTCGATTGCCCTTTCGATTTGAATTATATGTTCTCCATTAGCGAATAAGTGCTTTAAGTACACATACACATACACACACACACACACACATACACATACATGTATGTTTGTGTCTGTGTGTAAATTGAAATTGAATTGTTGAAAACTAGCTAGAAGCCGAACAAATTCCAATTGGAATCCAATCTGCAATGAAGCTGTTAACTGTTATTAATTTAACTTATTCCTCAAATATTATTTGAAATTTTAGCATTTAATATCAATTCTTATCAATTGATTGGGAAACTCTTTCGAATGGGTTTCTGCGCTTTGTTAAATATACTAGTTAATTCCAATTTTAATACGATTTTCCTGTGCAGTTGCTGAAACCATTGAGACAAAATGAATATACTATAGATATGTACATGTATATGTATACATATACATATATACGTTGTATGTGTACAGAGGCATTCATGTGCCGTACGGTTTAATGAAAACAATCTGACAATTCGCGGTCGTGGCACAAATACAAATGCACTTATGTATGTACATGCGCATACACACACACCGACACACACACACACACACACACACACAGATGTACACATTCACGTTTGTATTTATAAATATATACACCCATATTCATATGCATATATGTGTATGCATGTTCTAGTTAATATTGAAGAAATTCTACAGCCACGCCCACACCCACACCCACTCCCACATACACGCACACACAAATTAGTTGTAAAGCGAAAACAAAAATTCAATTTGTGAATTCTACATGATGTATTATTTAAAAAGTTCATCCAAACGATGCAACATTCGTAATAAACAAGAAATTCAATACGTAAATAATGTCTCTATCTAAGCGTAACACAATTGGACGTAGACAATTTCCAATTGGAAATCACCTTCAGCTGATATAATCCCATTATAATCCCATTAGTCTAATTGGAGTACTGAGAGGGGGCGGGTGGGCATATCATTTGTTGTGCTGCGTGCGCAGATATATATCGAACTGGACGAGTGTAATGAAGTAGGAGAAGGCTGTCACGGAAATTAGATAGATGAGACGACGATCCAGATACACCACGCCACAGAGCATTGGCTGGCGGCAGTGCATCAGCAGCAGCGAGAACTGTTCCAACTGGAAGACAAGTGACAAATCGTTAGCTAACTGGCAGCCAATTGGATGCTGTGCAGTGTTTGGTTGGATCACCTCTTGGTTCAGGCTTGGCGGCTGCAGCGCTGGAGATTCACTGAACTGGCGAACGGTGAGGGCCAGACGCGTCTGCTCCACCTTGATATACTCGCCAACCAGCGACAGCAAATACGTGTCCAGATAGAAGCCCAGCGCATAGACGCCGCTCACTGCAATCGGAAAGGAGCCGAATGCGCACGAGCTCGTCGCCAGCAGATTGAAGATGGTAAACAGATTGGTCAGATTGGTGATCAGCGTGGTCAGCATCAGGCCCAGCAGCTGGAACTGATGCATCCGAAAGCTGTCCGCATACAGGCCGTGTATCTGAGCGTAGCGCTCCCGCAGCAACCCAATCCGATCGCACAGCCGACAGCCGTAGAGCAACAGCCTGCCGCAGCCCAGTCGCCTGAGCTGCTCCAGCTCCTCCTGCAGCTGCATGTGCAGCAGGCGAAAGTACAGCAGCACACAGCTGTTCACATAGTAGAAATAGTCGGCCATGTTCTCCGTATAGTTCCACAGGACGAAGGCGTAGATGGCGAACTGAATACGCAGTCGCCTCCCTTGGGCAGCTGCAGCCGAGTCGGAGTCGGAGTCGGAGTCGGAGTCTGTATCTGAGTCGATGCGGGCAATGGCAAATATCGCACAGATCTGGACAATAATCATCAGGTTAATCAGCACGAATTTTAGGTACATGAACAGCTCGAAGCTGCGCTTAGGCCAACCGGATCCACGGTAGCTGGCGGCAAAGGCCGCCTGGAGGCGGGCGCGCTGCAGCGAGCAGCGCTGGTTGATGGCCTCGAAGTGGCAGGTGTTCGCCACATAGGTGACAATCACGGTGGCGTACTTGATGAGCGTGTTGGCGAAGCCCACATACAGCACCAGCTGGATGCGGCGGTCGTCCGTGGCCGTCAGCGCGCGGTAATTGTAGCCAAAGTAGCCGGGCAGGACGACAATCAGCAGCAGGCTCAGCACGTGGCTATAGGCGATGAGCAGCAACTTGAACGGCGCTCGGATCGGTCGCTGCGGCGCATAGTCTATGATCACCTGGCCGCAGATGCTCGCATAGATGTGGCCATACCTGTAGAACTTCAGCTCGTGCCGCTCCCAGAAACTTTGCGACTTGGCGCACATGCCGCACGCTCGGCCAGCCGCAGTTGCACGGAACTGAATGACTACTGTGCCACACTGAGGCATGTGGCATGTCAGCTGAACCAGCGCCGATGCTTATCATAAATGTACACAGCCAATGCGCAAGCGTATCTAAAGTTTCTCGCTTTACTTTTCGACTCTCTAGCAATACAGCATATAGATTAATGAGTTGCTGAATAGATTTGATGTCTTTCTTTATTAGACGATATTCATTGTATAACTGAGCTTTGCTTCTGATAAGCGTCTAATATACACATATTCATATATTTCATGTGAATAGAACTATATAGTTCTACATGTGCTAGAGGCCATCTTATTCTTGATCAACATAACAAGCTCTCTCATCTGTCTCTCTGTGTCACTGTTCTTCTGACAGTCAATCGGTCGGCCCATTTGCCAATCCCTCTTTATTTCCTTGCGCCTTCTTCTGTCTGTCCGTACGTCTGTCTCTCTGATGGTTCACCAGTCATCATCCGTCTCTCTTATCGTTTATCTGTTCTTCCATTCGTCCATTTGTCTTTTCGTCCGTCTGTCTGTCTTCGAGCTGTCCTATCTTTCCTGTCTATGTGCCTGCCTATATGTATGTCCGTTCTTCCGTTCCTCTGTCCGTTTGTCTGTCCACCCAGACGCTGGTCTGTCCCACCATCCATCCGTTCGTGTGTCCCACCGTCCATCCGTTCGTGTGTCCCACCGTCCATCCGTTCGTCTGTCCCACCGTCCATCCGTTCGTCTGTCCACCTATCCATCCGTTCGTCTGTCCATCCGTTCGTCCATATATATATCCTTTTATCAGTCTGTCCATCGCTCTGTCTGTTCGAATGAATGTGCAGATATCGTAAACTACAAAAGCTATAGACTCAAAATATTATATACGTATATATCGCTCGATACCGTAGTACGAGTCAATTATTGATCTTATCGATCTTCTTTCTCAGATTCGATAATAATCGCAGTTTTTCCTTTGGTTTCGCAGGTCGTACTTGAATATGGACTCTATTATGCCTGCGGCTGAAAGGACTTGGCCAGGGCAATAATGGAACCAGATGTCTGCAATATCTGAAAGAGCGAAGACTTATGGTAGTAATTACACATATAACGAGCACTAAAGTACGCACTGTGGTATAGGCGGCCAGAGAGGGCGAGAAGAACGGCACTGCCATTGTGATACCACGCTGTGAGCGCATTATAAAAAGCTGAACGTAGAGACGGTGCTTTGGCAAGCACTGATGCCATGGAGCACTGCCCATGACAATGGCTAGGTTAGTGCTCTGCAAGAAAATGAAATGAAAATTGAATCAGTGACAAACACCGTCCTTTGGCCAATCCAAACTGGTTGAGCACTAACACTCTCGGTGACCAGAGTGCCTCCGTAGCAGTAGATGAGCAGCTGGCTGAGTGCGGCCACGGTGTAGCTCACGTAGAGAAATATGTTCATTCCGATGTCGCCGATGGTCAGCAGATTGAACATGCTGAAGCCAATTACCATGCTGGCCGAGATGAAGTAGGTCAAGGTGATAGTGGCATAGCGCTGCCTGAAGTACTTCGTCAGCTCAAAGATCTCATTCTGCCGCTTGATCAGCTTTACCAAAATCGCCTCGAAGACGGCGCCGTTGTCGCCGCTTATCTCTGGCAGATCTAAACGAGGAGCCTTGATAGCTGATTAGAGTGCAAAAGAATGCTGCATTGCCTTACCTTTGTAGGGTTGAAAGAGCGTGTGAATATCCGCCTGGAGGAAGTCGAAGAGCGTGGCGATGTTAACACAGAACTCGAAATAGAAGGCGTCACAGCCTCCGAACATGAAGATGGTCACGTAGCCGGTATAGGCAATGAATATGAAGGTAAGCGGGTAGAACGGTGCATGTAGTAGCCACTCGGGCATGCTGCAAGGAGGGCTCTCAAATGGATGTTCAGTGCGTTGCCATCCCACTAACTTACGTCATATTGAAGGGCATGCCCCAAACGATTTCATCGGTGCGTCCATTTAGGTAGAGCAGCAGCACTACCATCAGTGGCTTCAGATTGTATAGGCTGCTGGTGGAGAAGCCAGCGGACACTGGCCAGAAGGTTAAACGACATGCCAACAGGAAATGACGACGCATCACCTGTTCCTTGACAGGCGTCTGCCCGACGGTGGGGAACAGCATCTGGCGCTGTTTAGTTAGGACGTAGAGCAGATCCTCACGAGCCTGCAGCAAAAAGAACATTTTCAGCAGGGTGACCGCTGAGGTGACACCCGGACAGAATGTCTCCAAGGTAAGCGTTGTGTCGCCCTGTGTAGCAAACCGAAAGCCGGCATGCAGCTCCGTGGCCACGCCTATGGCCAGCACCACGAAGTTGATGTAGGCTCGCCAATGCAACCGCTCAGGCCAGTAGCCCATCAAGTTCAAGCAGAGACGCGGCACGGCGTAAAAGTATGTGGCCAGTGGCTGATTGCCGTACAGAAACCGGAAGTTAATGTCGATAGCCATGCCAGCAGCGCGTCTTCTGTTTGGGCCATGGAGCGCGCTTGGCTCTTTTATAGAACCAGTTGAACAGTTGGAAGTCTGATAATTGGTCTGTTGTTCAGGCAATTAGATAACTTTTTAGACTTTCGATGTCCAAGTTTTTGCACAAGGTTACGCAAACGGCAATGTGTCCCAGGAAGAGCTGACCAGGTGGTCATAGGCCATTATTTCTAAATTTAATATTCGGTCATAGCTCATCTCATATATGTAATACCTCGTTTAACCTTAATATTAATGCAAATTAGAATTGGGAACTATCAAAAAGCATTTATCCCATTAATTTTTCACGAACCGTCCTTTATCTGGTATCCCATAAGCAGGCTAAGAACACTTTAGATCTATATCTTCACTTATCTGAGGCATACTTTAAGGCAGTTGTTTTCAATCTTTTAGTTGTAACAGATTTGATTTTATATATATTTTCGATATACATAATAAATACAATGTATGCATATATAAGTTAGATCTTATATAGGAGATTAGTTCAAAAAGAATAGCAAATATTGGATTACGAATGTATATTAAATTTTTAATTTTTTTTTTCGAGTTTTTTGTGGTGATTGAGAAGATAAAGACAGCATCGAAGTAGCAGATGAACAATGTCAAAAGGGCTTCAGGAATTAGTGTATATTCCATGCGAATAGCTTTGAAGGCCATGTAATATATTATCTTCATATAAAATATTTTATTTAACAGCCCCCTTGATATATAGGATAAGTAACGCTAAATTTTGTGTGTTCTTCGGTTTATATATAATTTTTTTTTAAATTATATTAAATATACTATTTTAGAATATACCATACATATACCATTTGCCCTTTTTTAATTCAAATAAAAATTACATGTTTTATATGCGCTTAAAGTTTAAAAAAAAAAAAAAAAAAAAAAAAAAAAAAACCATATGAATGTTGGGCACTATATGTTATTAATACTTAGCACTGATATCACAATAGTTTTTTCTGTACTTGTTTTTTTTTTTTATTAACTATTAAATCAATGCTATCAGAATTTGGTAACACCTGCTCTACTTATGACAACAATGGGTTTTTAATTTTAGTATTATAAATATACTTAAAACTAAATTCCTTTATGTAAAGGGGATTTTAGAGCAACTTTATCCTATATGTTATGCAGTATTTTGGCAAAGCCATCTTTGATCATAATGGATAGATGCCAAACTGAGTAGACCTTAAGATATTACAGCTGCATAGCTCGATTGCATTGAGGCGTACTCTAAGGCATTTGTTTGCTTAGCTTCCCAAAGAATAGTTCAAATATTATATTGTATATTATATTTTATATTGTATTGTACAAGTGCTAAACTGAGGCATATTTGAGACAACGCTCTGAATCAGAGCAATTTACATTTATTATTTGCAAGTCTCGAGCTATTGTTGCTGTTGTTCCTGAGTTTGTTTTGCTGAGCTCATACGGACAAACAGATTGCTAGGTCTACCAAGTCAGCCACGCCTCCTTCTGTTACCTCCCATACTCGAGCTTGCTGTGTGAAATATATATACTCACAAGTGTCCTCAGTGTCCAAGCATGAAGTAATTAAATGAATAATCTCATTCCACGATCAGTCAGCCAGGGGCTAGCTAGCCTATAGGCGTGAAGGGGGGAAAAGGGTTGCGATACGGGGAGTGTTGCAGGTGTTATTTAAGAGTCAAATGTGCGATAATCCAAAGCAGAGCAAACTTACATAAACAATCAACTAGAAAATTGGTCAGTTTAGATGGGCTCGACTTTTGCTTTTGCTTTTGCTTTCGCCCGATTGTACAGAATTGTTGCAGTATTTTTGCAAATTGAATCAACGCTAATTGGCTGCTCAGAAATTGTTCTATTTTGCAGTTATTACTAAATCGCAGCTAGCTGGCAGCTGGTAGAGGGAGGAGGGGGGTGGGAAAACTGGCTTTGGCACTGGCACTGAAACTATCACCTGACCGCACTGCTTGCAACAACAACAACAACAGCAGCAGCAGCAGCAGCAACAACAATAACAACAACACTGTGAACACTTACACGCAATCCAATTAGAACAAATTGAGGCAAGCCGTGGAGTCAATTGAGTACGTCGCATGATGGTGACTGGCATTGTTTCAAGTGTATAGAGCGGGAGGATTGTCAACTGCTGCTGCTGCTGCTGTTGCTGCTGCTGCAACACACTAACAGCACACCAGCAACACACCAGCAGATCACGAGATCAAGCCTTCTTCTTCTATATGTTTTTCATATATATTTTTATTTGGATTATTTGCGCCCTTGACTGACTCGTCGTCATTATTATTATTATTATTATTGCTGATGGTTAAATTCTGGCTGCGGCATGGGATATGCTTGTGGGGTGCTGTCACCGCGCTGCACATGACCATTAGATAAGTTTATTATAGAATAAATACGCGCTGTGCCCACTCATAAAGAAGTTAAGCAATTTCAGCTCTTTAAAGCATAAATTGTTTAATAGAGTTTGACGCGACAATTGGCGGAGGGCTGATATAAAAAAACAAAAAAAGTGTCGCCTCTTATTTATACTCTGCAATAATCGTAATTGCCAATGAGAGAGTGAAAAGAGCGAGAAAAAGAGAGAGATCAAGAGAGAGAGTGATCAAGAGGGATATGGAAAGAGAGATCACAACAGATAGAGAGAGTAAGGAAGCTGAGCGAGAGATACGGAGTGAGATAGAGAAAATAAGTGAGAAAAGAAAGAAAGAGAAAGAGATATATGCGAGGATGAGAAAAAAGAGAACAAGAGGTAGAGAGAGAGAGAGAGAGAGAGAAAAAAGGAGAGAAGCATAGACACATAGAATTAGAATAGCGAAAAAAGAGACATAACAGAGACAGAGAGATACATATTGAGAGAGAGAGAGAGAGCAAGAGAGAGCAAGAGAGAGAGAATGAAATAGATATGGACAAATATAAAATGAAATAGAAATAGATCGACATATGTATATAGATAAATCGATAGATAGTGAAAAAGCGATATATATATAATTAAAATGAGAGAGAGAGAGAGAGAGAGGAAGAGAGAGAGAGAGAGAGAGAGAGAGAGAAATAGATAAAGAGATAGATAATGAGGCTGAAAAACAGATAAACAGAAAAAGAAAAAGAGATTAAAAGACAGCTAAAGACAGAGAGAAACTCAAGTAGAGAGAGGCGTAGTGAGAGTAAAAAAACATGAAGCGGTCAAGAGATAGTTAAAAGAGGCTTCGACAGATACAGAGAAAGATAAAGTCTACTGTATACTGTATGTCGTTGATCTATATATTAATTTGCGACTACAAATTTATTCGAATAATATCAAAGTCATGTTTTTTCAGTATATAATTATAATTATGATATTTGCAGATTATTTAATTATGCCAAACGTTTGGCTGAGATCGTTCGATAAGTTGCCCACTCGAACTCAAGTTTTATTCGGTTCAAGCATATCTCCAAGTCGAATCTTTCCATTAGAACCAGGGCAATTATTTTTAACTTGCAGTCCTTCAATACAAATTTCGTTGTAGACATACGACACGAGTGCCTTGATAAGCCCATATAGTACAAGTTCAAAGAATCGATTTTTATGTGCCTGATAGCGAAGGCAAAGTTTCTGCTTGAGTTCGTGTGCCAAAAGACATACGTACGTATGTATGTACATATATGTATAATGCTCTAATTTCTGAATGTATATATGTATATGTATGTGTGTGTGTCTGTGTGTGTGTGTGTGTTAATTGTGGCTGTTATATAATTTAGTGGAAATTACGCACTCACTGATCATTGTCGCGCGCATGCGACTGACTGGCCGCAGCCATAAATTGCCATTTGATGAATAACAATTAAGCAGGCATTAATAATTAGAACATTTCGTTTTTTATTATTTGCGATCTTAATTGCTGTGCGTTTTCAGCAACAACAAAAGAAAAGAGAAGATAGAGAGAAAGAGAGACGAAGCTACAATCGAGAACCATTGCCATAATCGTATATCATGTATTTGGCACCCATAAAAATGTACGCACACTGCTGGGCCCAGAGCTCCTCCAATTGCCTCCCCCAATTACTCATACGCCGCGTGGGATCGCGTGTACCTCAGCTGCCTTCACCTACATAAACACATAAATTCGTGAGCGCTGCCACCGTGCTAGAGCTAGTGCTGGAGCTGGTGCTGGTGCTGGTGCTGGTGCTGGTGCTGGTGCGCGACCTTATCAGTCGACCAGCCAGCCAGGCAAATCTTATCTCATTTGGCCACCAGCCAACCGATCCCGTTATCGGGCACCGTTTTTGTGCAGAAGAGCTGCCTGTGGCAAACGCTATCGGAGATCAAAGTTTGCGGCCGGGTTTATGGTCCGCAACCCGCTTACCGCTACCCGAGACCCACACAGCCGATCGCTCGCTCACCAGGCGCTGCTGAGCTGAGAGGCCGAAAAGAATCGCGTCAAACGCATCGTAAAAATTGCCAGACAAAAATGCCGATGGACGCATGCGCGATTCACGTGAACCGCGTTCGCCGTCCGTTCAACGATCAACTGGAACGTGAGACGTTGGGCGTGAAACGAGGAGCGGAAGGTGTGAAACGAGTGGAAGTGTGAGACGGCCGACGGGCCGGGTGTGGCGAGGGACGGGCAATGGAGAACGGGGAACAGAGAACGAGGAACGGGAAACGAGCAACAACTGGCGGCGGCCGGCAATCGATCAATAGAAATATAATTTGCACTTGTTGTCTCTTTTCATCTGCATATACACTGTAAAAAATAAAAAATAAAACTTTGTTATAATTAGCTAGCACTTGTTACATTAATTATACATATATAAATCAAAATTGATTGATATCCGAATGGCTTCATATGATATGCGAATTGAATATACATCTGAATTAGATTTTTTTATTTATTATTTAAATATAATTTGTGTATTAATTTATTTAAATTTTAAAGTATATTCCATATATTAGAAAATGTTAATGATATACGTTTATTTAATGAAGGTATACAGGTTTTGTTAAAATATATGCAACTATGTATATATATGCTTGATCAGCACGATGAGCCGAGACGTTTGAGCCTGTCCGTCTTTGGTTCTTTCTCGCACGTCTGTCCGCATGAATGAACGCATCGATCTCCGAACTCATAAGAGCTAGAGACTTGAATTGTCTAGTTTCAACAAAATTGATATTCATTCCATTTTAATAATATCGATTAAACACAAATCATAATACAGTTAAAAATGATGTCTCGTAGAGCTAGAGTCTCCAAATTTTATATTTAGTTTCAGGAGTATTTTATTTTGATCTCTGTTATCTTTTGAAAGAAAAGAAAGAAAATGTAAATTAGTTTGAATCTTTAGTAATCTGACATTTGTTGGTTTAAAGAGCTTGTAGATCATAGGCAAAAAAAACTGGAAACTCGGCTATGTTTGATGTTTCTTTTATCTCATTTTTTATGAACTTGAATGGGCTATTTGATTATAAAGGTGTGAACTTCGTTTAAGTCGTACATTTTTATAGATTTGCACTGCTTCCTGCTTTAATAACTGCGTAATTTTAGAAACTCCCGGTCATTCGATGTTCAGGACATCTCTTAGTCGGGCATGCCGACTGGAGTTTTCTTACTTGTTTTAAAATGCTTCTTAGTTAATTTATTGATTTAAAAAAACTCGTTTAGGCATAGTTTGGAGCATTTCCGATCAGTTTTCTCGCAGTGTAATTGTTTGTATGTTAATTGTTCATTAAGAATTTAAATAAAATTAAGTATTTTTATATCGGACAATCGTCAAGTCGTCTGGCTGCCTTTATTTGCGTTTATTTTTAGATTGCCTGGCTAATGCTGTTCTTACTACTTGACTTCCAGATTAATTTGTATGGCAAACGACGCATGTAAAATGCTGAACAAATTTTATGTTATGACCTTAACGCATTTGTTGAACTGTATGACGTGCTACACTTTGAGTGCGAGAAAGAGAGAAAAAGCGAGGAAGAGCGCGGGAGTGAGAGAGAGAGATAGAGATAGAAAAAAGAGACAGATAGAAACCGGTAGAACGATGTAAATCTCGATTGAAATAAATCGAGGGACAGTTAGAGAGAGAGAGAGAAAGAGAGAGAGAGAGAGAGAAAACGAGATAACAAGAGCATATTTGATGTAAGAAAGTGAGATAAACAGCGATATCGAGGGAGGTAGAGAAATAAAGCGATAAAAAGAGAGTAAGAGAAAATACAGAGATATAGAGACGAAAAGAGAGACGTTAAGAAGGATCTCAATATAGAGCGGAACAGATAAAGAGATATAAAGAAAGAGCTCAAATATAAGATATACTTCACATATAAGAGAACTTGAGTCAAAGAAGGAAAAAGAGAGGGAGAGAGAGAAAGACAGAAAGAGAGAGAGAGAGAGAGAAGAAAGTAAACGGAGGAAGTGAAAGAGAAATAGTGATGAAGACAAAAAAAGAGGAAGGGAAAGGGTAGGTCAGAGGGGAGATTTCAGAGAAAGAGAAGGAAATGGAAGGGGTCTATAAAAAGAAAAACAAAAGGATAGGGGAAGAATCTGATCTATAAATACATAGAATAGAAAGTGAGGGACAGCGAGCGAAATATCGGAAAAATGGCAAAAAGCAGCTCGAACTTATTATCGTTTCTCCTTCTGCACCTCCCCCAGCAAACGTCGCGACCTTTGTTATCGTAACTCGCGCGCTAATAGCTCTTCAAATATACTCCAATTATACTCAATGTATTCATTGTATTACAGATATTCCATATCGCAGACACTCTTAGTTAAAAGTATGCCTCTGATAATTGGCCTTGGCAAACGATTGAATGTGGCCAATAACTCTGAAGATAAGACAGATCGTATACTCCAATACACATTGAATATATTTATATTATATATGTATATGTATCCATACATATGTTTAATGTGTACAAATATAAATATGCATAAGGCAGACAATTAAGCAAACAGCGCCAAACTCAATGTGTGAGAATCTTGAATGGGTAATTAGCACATGGTAGGTCTATGTGTGTTTTTGTTAAGACGTCATAAGTATAA